TAAAATGTAGGGATACACTGTGCCGAATCGGAAGGATAAAAAAGTCATCGTCTATCAGCACGTGAGAAACACCGACTCGATGTCGAAACCGCAGAACGCGCATCTACAGCGCGCGATGGACGCGGGCGATCCAGTCAAAGATACAGAAGAGCGAGTGCCAGCAGTGGAGGCAGCAGCAGCGGCCTACGACGAAAATGGAGGTTTGCAGGAAGATCACAGCACTCGAGAGAGAGCAAGAAGCTGTGAACGCGACAAGCACATGGGACGTGCGGCGCATCGAAGCGAGCGGTCGCGGTTGCGCGCCAGGAGGATCGAGCTGATAGAAGGGGTGGTTGGCGCAGCCGTTCGAGCGCGATCCACGCAACCATGGCGAGTTCATGCGCAGCTTAAAGCGCGCGGAGTGACAGACGTCGATGCAGGAGGAGATAGCCGTGCTAGTGATCAAAGACGTGTGCGCGTGACGAAGCGCAGCCCAGGCACGAATGATCCCCAATCCAAATGGGTCTTCAAGACCAAGACGGGAGCTGACGGAAAGCTCGGGTGGTACAAGGCACGGCTTTTCGCATGCGGCAATGATCAGGTGCTCGGCGTCGACTCCAACCTGATGTTTGCCGCCGTGATGGACATATCAACGGCGAAGGTCGTTCCAGTGCTCGCAGCGACGTGGGGCGTGCTGGCAAAGCACAGGGACATCCCGAACGCGTACAACCGTGCCGGCAACACACGGGGATATCCCAAACGCGTACGTCCGTGCCGGCAACGCACGTGGATATCCTGAACGCGTACGTGCGCACTGAAAAAAAGCGCACCTCGACATCCGCCTTCAGGCTCCGCGCGTCAGGACGGTGTCCAACAGCAAGCTGCGCGAGGTTGGCGCGGCTCATGCAGGCGCTGTTGTCCTAGAGCTGCAAAGGAGCCTGTGCGGGTTCAAGGATGCAGAGGTCTCTGGAGCCAGCTGGTCCATGATCGGCTCAGTGATGCCGGCATCACGCGATGCGTGACAGACATGTGCCTGTATCACAAGCGCGATGGCGACGAGTTAGTCTTTGTCGGCGTCTACGTCGACAATCTGCTGGCGACGGGAACGACTGTCGCGGTGGTCGATAGCTTCTTCACGAGCCTAGCTTCGCTGTCAATCAAGGATCTTGGTGACGTGTACAAGTTTTAGGGATGCGATAGGAGCTCAGGAGCGACGGCGAGTCTTGCATCGATCATGAGGCGGCGAATAAGGGGGCCCTGCGCGCACATGGGGTGAATGACGCAATTATGGCCAAGACGCCGATCGGGGACGACTGCTACGAGGTGTTAGGCGACGACGCCGCGCTGCAAGAGACGACGAGCGCGGGCGGTGGTGCGACGATCAACGCTGTCCGGTCGCTCGTAGGGAGTATGCTGTGGGTCGCGCGATGCTCGAGGCCGGACATTGACTCTGCGGTGCACAAGGCAACCAGGCAGATACATGCGCCGCGGATGCTCGACTGGAAGTTAGCCAAGCGCATCGCGCGGTACCTCAAGGACAACGCGGAGCTAAAGCTCGAGACGGAGTCGGCGCGAGCGAGCCGCGGCGCGTTGCAGCTCGAAGCTAAGAGCGACGCCGACTCTGCGGCCGACAAGGCGCACCGAAGGTCGCTGACGGGGGGGCGTCGTGCTTCTCATTGGAATTGCGGCGTCGTGGATCGCGTAGAAGCAGGGTGACGTGTGAACCTCTCCGCGGTGGAGGCTAATTTCGTCGCGGTGTCGGAGGTCGCGCGCGCTCATTGACTTGTAGTAGATGATCGAAAAGGTGGACATGGCGCCGGTTGTCCCTATGCTGATGCATGTGAACAACCAGGCAGCCATGAGTCAGATCGAAGGCGACGTCTCCTTAATCAAGGCCAAGCACATCGATGTGAGGCACATGTATCTGCGCGACCCCGTTCGACGCGAAGTCGTGACGCCGCATCATGCTCGGACTGAGCTGATGCTCGCCGATTTGATGACGAAGCCTGTTCACGCGACCAAGCTGGCGACGCTGCGCAGTGCGATATGTTTGGTGTAGCTTGGCATGCGGACGGAGAGCCAGCGGCGAGAGAGCATGCGGCTGCGACGGGATGGAGAAAAGCAAAAGCGAGTGGAGACGTATGGCGATCGCAAAGGGAGGAAAAGAGCGAAAGAGAGAGGAAGGTAGCAGATGAGGGTGGTAGAGAGAGGAAGAGAAAAGAGACGAAAATGGAGACGCACTTGAGGAAGAGTGTAGGTAACCGAGGGGTTCGCTATTCGGGAGGTCGGAGACTCGGCGAGGTGTTTTGATAAGCGTCATCCGTTTATATAGGAAGCAGAGCAGCTCCTTAGCAAGATGGGTGTGTGTGGGTAGCTTTGGATAACACAGCAGGTAGAAGAGTAGTCTTAGAGTGTGAATACAGAATACAATTGCCCATTCACTGCCTCCTACTACCACACGTATACCAGCAAACAGTGTAAGCTACGATGAGGCGTGTCTATATGACAAGTGCCAGCAAATGGATTCTTATTACAACTGAAATGACAAATGAAGATCGATCCACCTTGTTCCTTTGTGCCACTCGGTCTCTACCTGAATGATCGTTCTATCAGATTTTATGATTGAAGAAAGTCATGTGAATGGTGGTTCAGCACATGGGAAGTCATTTCTTTAGCATAATCATAATTATCAATTTTATTTATGTTTTGCACAATGCTAAAGAGATACCAGACATCAACGTTCTCCAGCTTAGATAGAGCCTCGTTTACCATATAAAATGATTTGAATTCGTCGTAAATGTGAGCACAACGGAGTTTGTGGTACTGCTAAAACTTCTATTGTTATTTTCGACAGAATAGAATGACGTTCGCCGATAATTTAATTGATTCAACAAATATTTGGACTCTTGCGCTGATCGGATCCCATTATGGATAAACTCACGATGATGGCTTATAAGCACTTATAGATCCACTGCCCCTACACCACGGGATGCTGCAAGGCGCTGGCGCTTGGCGTTTAGACAACCTCGAGTACATTCTTTCAAGCTTAGCACGTTTCTTTATCAAGTTCTATATGATAGCCTAAATCACGCCATTAGTAGGTCAAACTACTTTGTCGCACGGGATGCCATATTTGGTTGGTTTTGCTACGAGTGGTGTCCTCGTTTTTGTAAATTGTAGGCGTTGAACATGGGTAAGGCAAGCTTGCGACATATTTTAAGTGTAGCAAACAGTGGGATCAAAAGTCTGCTATTTTTTTTACCACACTTCGTTTCTCGCAAAAGCACTATCATAAACATATAGTCAGGGTGGCTACGTGTCTCTGATGTTAATGCACAATCTGTACCAGTTTGGGAACAAAACGAGAGGAGCTGTGTTGGTGGTATTTGTATCCTCTAGGGCTCTTATCTGCTGATTTGGAAAGTTCGTTTTAGGGGGGGGCTTACCAGTGGGAGTTGAACTGGAGTGGGTAGTCATATAAGAGAAATACTATTTTTAATCCGTTAAACAACGTGTTTTACTACAGTATATGCATAATGACGCCACTTCAATCGATAACAATGTACTTGGTTAAGTATGGCTAAGTGTGTCTATCGAAGCCAATATTATGAGGGGTGGGATATTTACATCAAATGTGCACTCTAAAATCTAAATTTCAGGGGCATATATAAATATCTTCCATCTCATAGTACACTTATCTTTTAATGTTTGGGTGCATCCTTTTCATTTTTATTGAAACATAATGTGAGATTGATAGTGTATCCTTGATTGGTAATGCTGGTGCAGTATTATTTACTTCCTGCCAAACGCTGTAATCAATCTTATTGTGATAAATGGTGCGTTTCCCTTCATTTGATCCTTCTATCAATCTGTAATTGTTTCTTTTTATTTTGATGAATGTTTTTTATGGACGTTGCAAAGAACATGTTGTTACGCCCTCCAGGCTCAATGAAAGAAAAAATGAGCCACGTGCGCCTCATATTGCCACATATCTTATCAAGACATTTCAGAAATTCCTTAGCGTGTTCACCAACAATTGCATAGCCCGGCTTTATCCTGCAAGTATGAGCGTGTCCACGCTATGCACTGACGAATCTGCGATTTCCATCACGATGCTGTCGGTGGAAACACAGCTTTGTACATTGATGTAATAGTGCTTTCGCTTGCGTTTTCGTCTAGCTACAGCACCAATTCTTATTTACTACTTGAGACAAATTTGCCACAGAAGCGTCGTCAGAACGCGACACGAAAAAGCAGGTGACGAGGGAATGATACCGAATAGCGCCTATTGTTCTTCTTGTAGTCGTTTGCTTCCGACCATTATGCCTTCGCATAACAAGCTCAGGAATTATCAACCACTCGCACGAACTCCAGGACACTCGATGTTCATCACTTCCGAGCCTCGACTCATCAGGAAGCGTCGATCCGGTGATAGCTTGTACGGCGTCGATTACGCGTTGTTAGCACCTTGCAGAGCTCTATGTCTAGTCACCTCGTTGCAACGATCCACCATATACGACATCGTTCTTTTCCAGCGGTTCATGCGATAGCTCTGTTTGACATGCACACACTCTAGTAAGCAAGAGGGCCGCTTTTATCCATATCAAATATTGCTCCTTTCAGCGGGCTTCCGCGTTTCCAGGACTTGGCCACTTTTTCCATCACCTTTCAGCAAATTAGCAACGATCCACCTCAGACGAGTGACTGCCGCTAGATCGTCAACGCGTTGACTAGTCGACGGCCGGCTTGCACTTCCGAGCAAGTGCGAGTTGTACAGATAGATTTCGTACCAGTCCGACAGGTCCAGACATAACAAACGATTCCTGCAGGTGGCTGACTACTAACCTGTACTTTGGTTGTGTTGCCTCAGTATCGCTGACGAGGAATATAACACATCTTAGTCCCCAACTTGTCCCAATCAGTACTGTCATGTAACGAGTAAACGACACTTCATATCCTGGAACCATCGTGCATTGGGCATGGATACCTTCCTGTCATAGCTGAAATGCCAGAAAAGCCTCCTAGGAAGTTGCTGAGACGCGAGTCGATGAACGTGTGGCAGACGGTCCCGCGAGAGCAATCCACGCTGCGAGCTTGCGCATGGCGATGTCTAGATTTGGGCAGACTGACTGGATAAAGCCGTCAATGGCGTCCAAAGACGGATCGTCCTGCTGCCAAAGGCACCAGGACAAAGCATCGATCACGTCGTAGTTAGTGCTTCAAAGCCATTACGAGAGCTTGTTGCATTCGGACCATCAATGCATAATGCTCACCATGCTCTCGATGAGATAAAGTGCGAGGTCGCCCTTAAAGTCCACGAAGGCTAACCGGGCAAAGAGCTCTTCGGGCGCACGTCCGAAAGCTGATCCCGGTAGAATTGCCACGCCTGTATCCTGCAGTAGCTGCGCGCAGAGCTGTTCGTCCGTGGCAATACCTCGCCTAGCGAGTGCTTTGCAGTGTCGTCGAAAGCAGGGAAAGAGGTAGAAACCAGCTTCAGGGACTTGTACCTCAACATCCATCTTTTGCAGCTGGTACGCAAACCACCGACCGATGAGCTGCAGCGTTTTCTGGCACTTGCGCTTGTACGAAGCGAGTTCGACGCAACTGACGCGAACAGAGAGCAGCAAAAGAAGGCACAACGCATTCGGTCACAAGGACGAGGGAAAGATCGTCAGTCGATCGCGTGTGCTGACAGGTCAAATGTCGAGCGTTGGCTACGTACTCGAGAACAAACGCTCGTCGAGCAGCATGCTGGATAGGTGAAGCCACGGACGTGTAGGTTTCGGACGCCATGACGAGCATGCTACGACGCAACCAGTCCATACCGGGTGGAAAGAGCCAGAAGCCCATGCGCCAACCGCCCGCACCACACCACTTGCTCAGTCCTCCCGAGACAATGGTCCCTTCCCGGTAGTACTTGGAGAGCGACAAGTGCGTGCCAGAGTGATGCAGCTCCGAGTAGATTTCGTCCGAGACGACGAGGATACGGTATTTCCTCGCAACCTTTGCAAGTGCTTCCAACTAGTGCACGACAGCGAATGGCGTCAGCACAGACAGATACTCGCGTGACCTCTCAATGGGCTTTTGAAGGAAGAGATAGCAACATCACGGACCTCGTTGGCCTGGTAAGCGCACCCGGTGGGGTTGGATGGACTGTTCAGGATGAGGATACGTGGAGCATCTACGGACACAGAGTCACCGCAGTCACCACAAGACTCTATCAGCAAACACCCGTCACACGTGACGAGCTCGAAACAATGCCAACAACACCTACCTGGGTCTTTGGCACAATGTGCTTCAAGTACCTCTGGTCGAAGCACAAAGTGGTCTTCAGCATGAGTGGGTAGCCACATCATGTTCCTTGCAGACAACACACAACGCAGTGCACGATCAACTTCCCTGCAGTCACATGACGTTTATCTGCCGCAGCGAGGGCTCTCACCTGCCAGCAATCGCGGCCTGTGGCGCGTAGCTCGTGCAACTCGGGTTCGGCAGCAGCAAGTCTCCATAGTACACTGTCTGCAGCACAAACAGCAGCTCTTTCGTTCCCGGGCCGACCAAGACGTCGTCGCGCGAGTACTGGACATGCAGGCGGTCGGCTCCCCACGCAGCAATGTCATCGCAGAGTTCAGGCAGCCCTGCAACGGGCAAGTAGTCCCTCTGGTGCGAGTTGGCCCTGCACCACCACCGAGTCCAGTCAACCGCCACCACAACTGCCACAGCCACAACGTCTCAAGTCACGGCCACTAGCGCGTGGTTCACGCACCGCAGCTCGTCGACAATGCACTGCGGGATTGGGAACGGCGACTGCCCCAGTCCCAATTTGTAGATGCACTTGCCCTTCTTGATCATGTCGTTGCTCAGCTCGTCCAGCGCACTCCCAGCCGCGGTGCACAGCAGTCGGATCTTGCAGTTGATGACCTTCCGTGGACCTGCAGCCACGTCCCCACAGCCCGTCAAACACCACAGACACACACATACACATGACCTGCTCCGTGCACGGCCCATCGATCATTGTCCACCTGAGTTCGGCGTCTCGCTATCGTCTGCCGGTCGCTTCCGACCCACTGCAGGAACGTCTCGACGACCGGTCCCATGTAACCCCACTGCATTGTCGCGAGGCGAGTCGCTCGACGCGTTCAGTCCACTGAGACTGACTACAGGAGCAACTGCAACAACACGTTCGGCAGCTGCCGGTGGGGACCCCAACGCGGTGGACACACGACGTTGCACTCGACGCTGTAGCGTTGTTCGGGGTACGCGGAACTTCCGGGCAGCTTCGCGGAGCGACAGGGAGCCGCTCTGCACGGCTGCAATGGCCTCTTCGAGCTGAAGCGACTGCTGCGGCATAACCAGTAGCGACGCAGCGGATCGAGTGCAGAAGGAGGTGGGGAATACGCGACGAGGCGGTGACGTCCGCAGCTGCTGAGTAGGACGCCACGTGTCGAGCTGACCATGAAGGGGTGCAACCTGATTGTAGGGTCAGCGGTTGCAGCACGTGCCGGTGCAAAGGCGGACACGATGCATGATGGTCTCTATTGATTTAGTTAGCATCTGCCTACATGTCTGCCTACATGTCTGTCTATCATGTCTGTCTACATGTCTATCTGTGTCTGTGCATGTGTGGGTCGGGTATCGATGGAGGGCGACCTGTGTCTGGACCTGCTACGGCGTTTGTGGTTAAGCTCAGTGTGTTTCATTGGAAAGAGAGGGAAAAGTTCGTTTGCCATTTCTTGACGTAACGGTCGTGTGAGAGATCTCGAGACTGCTTTTGTGTGACGACTACCCACCTGCACATTCTGTGTCGGTCGCAGTAGTCGAAAACTGTAACGTCCGAAGCTACAGGTCCTGTGTCTACAACGTAAAACCCCTAGGAATTGTAGCGGTACGTAATATAAATTACGTCCCTCCTTGTCATGCAAAATATTCCTGGACCAAATTCCCGTCCTCGTCTACTTGACTGCATTTGACCAAGAATTGGGACGGCATGCAGCACGTACGCGCCTCTAAGCTCCTGTCCCACGCCAGCAAACGGCGCCTCCTCGTGTCTACATACACCCAATTGAGCCGTCGCGTGGGCGTGTCTCCGCCTCAGGTCTCTACTGGTCACAAGTCACGGCCTTTCAACGTCCGTGCAACCACATCCAGTGGCGCTGTAGCCAACCAATGCGCACTTGTGGCTGGAGCTGCAGCTCTTGTCGGTGCAATTGGATGGACCGCAAGTACAGCGAATCTCGAGGCAAAACCGGACAAGAAGCGGGAAAAGGTACGTCGACTGTCCAGACATTTGCAGAGCTATTGTGGCATAAAGTGGGATTGACGGGCACCTGCTGTGTGTGTATGTAGCACTATGATTACGCTGAAGTTGTGGACACGATCCGTCATAGCGTTTCCGAGTTCCGTGCAACGATCAAGGGCAGCGACAACCGTGTCCCCAAGGCTTTTCCGATCCCCAAAATTGGCATCTCGAGGATACATGCGCCGAATGGCGTGGCCACGATCCGGATTGAGTTTGCGTGCCCATCTTTTGTCGACCAAGAGTCGGTTCTTGGTCGGTTTCTGCTCCAGTTGCAGAAGACATCGACTCCTGGTGCTCGTCAGGCTGTAGAAGTGCTCCCGGTCCCGCTCGACAGCACGAAGAAAAAGACCGCTACAGAGATCGATGAACAACCTGCTGTGACGTACCTGTACTCAAACGGCTCAGGCTCTTTTCAGTTCTTGCGCGATGCGTCGTCGCTGCAACCGACGTCGAAGTTTGTGTTTTTCAAAGATGAGTTTCTAACGCAAAACGAAATCGACGCGGTCGTCAGTGCCTACGAGGAGATCTACTCGCACGAAAACGTGAACGCATTTTTCCGTCGCGATCTCGAGCGGCGTCGAAAGAATGCTTTTGCTGGACGAGGCCCGAATGCGGCTGCTGCAACTGCTGCTGCACCTGACAGCAAGGTTAGCTGGATATGCAGTCTCTTGTGGCAATTTGCGTCTTGTATGAATCTGTTGTGCGCGTTTGACTGCAGGAAGAAGCGATTCAGCACTTACAGACTCTCGGAATCGACGTGTTTGAGCCATCTGCAAACGAAAACAGCTTGACTTGGGATAGTTTGGTAATTGCTTGTGGTTTTGAAGCCGGTGGTGACCGAGGCGTGCTGAGAGCTTGTATTTGTGGTGTGCTCTATTGTTGCGGAACACGCAGGCAGGGTACGATGAGGTGAAAGAGGAGATTGAAGACACCGTCGTGCTAGCGCTTCAAAATCCAGAGCTCTACGAGCGTATTGCACAGAAGACTCGTTGCCGTTATGAGAGCAATCGTCCTCGTGCTGTGCTGTTTGAAGGTCCGCCTGGCACCGGCAAAACGTTGAGTGCGCGGATCATTGCGCAACAGGCAGGCATTCCCATGATACACATTCCGATCGAGAGTGTAGTCTCGAAGTGGTATGGCGATAGTGAGAAGAAAATGTCGGCAATCTTCGACGCGTGCGAGAAGTTGGATGGCGCTATCATTTTCATAGACGAGGTGGGCTTTCACTGACGTCCGTTACTACGCGTTCTGGACCGATACTGACCTCATGCGTTGCTATGTGTGGGATGCAATAGATTGACGCACTTGCTGGAGATCGATCGGGTGGTACCATGCACGAAGCTTCTCGGCGTATTTTGTCCGTTCTCCTGCAAAAAGTAGAGGGGTTCGCCTCGGCCAAAAAGACCACCGTCGTGTGTGCCACGAACCGGTGCGTGCCAACTTGTATCTTGTCGACCTTGTCTCGACCAGGCATTGCTAAACTTATTGCATGGTGTTGCTGTGACAGAAAGCAAGACTTGGATGCCGCACTGATCAGCCGTTTCGATTTGTCGATCCGCTACAACCTTCCAGACGAGAAGACCCGCCAGGCAGTGTTTGCTCGGTAGGCTTTCACTTATGCAGAAGAGTTATGACGGGGCAAAGCGAAGTTGACGCATGTACTGATGCTGTTCATGCAGATATGCCAAGCAGTTGTCTGACGAAGAACTCTCACAGCTGGCAGCCGTTTCTCCGCAGCTCTCATGCCGAGACATAAAAGAGGTACTGTTGTAGATTGATGTCTGCATGTAGAAAGCGCCATCTCAGTCCAACATGTGCATATGCTGACTGTCTGCCGCGTGATATAGATTTGTGAATATGCAGAAAGAAAGTGGGCTTCGAAGGTACTGAAGAAGGAGGAGACGATGGAGCTGCCTACGTTGCAGACCTATTTGGAGGCCGTGAAAACGCACACAGGTGGACTGTCGCACCACTTGCAGCCTGATGTATACGAGACATGAACGGAAGAAGGGGGCAGTTGATGAACCCAATGTGAATGGGTGCTGTATCATCTCCGCATTGCGGTCTCTTTATCTATCGTGTGTCGGACTGGTACTAAGTTGTAGAAGCTCCTGGTACTGATGGTTGAGCTCCATGTTCAGCTTTCCTGCAAGTGACTTGCTGCATTCTGCGTAACAGAAGTGCGTGAGAAATGTGAAGGGGTGGACATGTCTCGCGTATCCCAACTTACGCATGACATCCTGGGCAACTTTCATGAATTTGAGGGCTTCGGCGGTGTCATTTCCGCGATGACAGAGCACACCCTGCACATGTTTTGGTTGGCAGAGCTGACATCCATCACAGCAACAAAAGCTGCACGTACGATGTTCCACGCTTTCGCGACAAACCACTCGATGTCGCGCTCAGGCATCGCCACGTCTAAGCTGTAGATGAATTGGAGTAGCTGCTCAAAGCACTCGTATGCCTTTGTCCTCGACTGTGCTAGTGTGACAAGTCGTCGAAGCAGGTAGCACAGCTTGCTCGGATCGGTTGCGCTTGCTTGGAATAGCACTTCAAGCCTTCACATCAGACATATTAGCGCTGTAGCCGAGTGCTCTTTTACGTCAATTGCTCGCACCCGTAACTGAACACTTGTCTACCTAGAGACAAATAGCTGTTTCGGACCTGTTCCGCAATCAAAGAGTACGATCGTTGTGTCAACTCGATCCCGACAACGTGCTCGAACTAGCTGTCTCACCTCAGACGCTTCGTCGAACTTTGCTGCATACATTACTAGCTCTGTGTGTACAGGACAACGAACATGTGAGTATGTTGAATCGTTGGGCAAGCACCTAGAATCATGCACCTCCAATCTCGATGAGCTCATCTACACCGAGCTGAGTTGATCTGCAGAGATCGATAATCGCTTTTGTGTTTGAGTCAGACAGCCGCAACTTCACTGCAATTGTCGCTCTCGTCTGTCCAGCAACAAAATGTAAGCACCAGTTCTCAGCTTTGACGCCAGTGTGTTACTTCGTCGTACCAAGTAGCGCATGACGTCGGTAGTATCCGATATGTCCTCAGGATCAATCGCTTCGAGCCTATTGATCAATTCAAGAAGCCCTAGCAGCTGGCTCTTGTCCAGCGTCTCAATGCTTTTCATGTCAGAGCTCACGGCAGCTAGCAAACACTGCTGGCATCGCTGCTTGAGAGGAGAACTTTCGTGATAAAGCTCGTCGCACCGCTCTGCAATGTTAGCTGCAACGATGAAAAACTTGGAGTCTTCGGTGCCTTTGGCGATATCAAAGCTGCGGCGATACACAATATGATGATTTTGGTTTCGACAACGAAGAAGAGATCTTGTCATAACACTTGCACGTTACCTCATTCGGAAGAACCACTCGAAGACTGACGAAGGTCCGAAACTTTCCTTCTGCTTCGTACAATCCGATTTTGACAACTGCAAAAGCGCGCTGGCGTATGACAAGAATTTCTCGCTGTACGTGTTTGCTGCAGTGTCATTTGGCTGGTGTTGCTGAGTGAATTTGGCAAATGCAAGTTGTGCCGCATTTTGTAAAACAACGGCTACAGGAATCACTGTTGGGTAGCTCTCGGCTTGCAGCAAAACATGGCACAGTTCATCCAGAACGTGCATCACGAAACCTTGCCTCGATGGACCCAAATTGCTGGCTTCCTTTCCCATAGCAAGCAAATCCTCAATCTCGAAATCGTCCCGGCTCTTTAGCTGCTGCATGAGATGCACCAGCTCTTCTTCGGTCGCCTCCAATTTCGATTTCAGTGTCACTTGAAACCGAGCAAACAGAGACTGCTTGGAAGGCTCTGCATCGAAAGCCTTTTTCGCCCACGCAAGTGCTTCCGAGTCGCGGCCTAACTGGAGACACGAGCGAGACATGGTCCTACAATAATCTCGTGAAAGTCAATATCTTTTGCGATGAAGCAGCGTATGCTTGAATCCAATCAATACCTCAAGTATACCGCTTTGTCTTGTGCCGTTGAAGCCGCAGCTAATCCAGCATCCGCCCATTGCAAACAATCCTGGAGTGTGCGACACGATCAGTCCCCTACAACTCCTCATCACTTCGTTTTTGCTTCGATGTAAACCACCTCGTGCCGGTCAGAATTCAGTGCATGCTGCAGAGCATCGAAAACGGTCTGTCGAACCCGCAGGATGTGTTTGGCATCCACAGCTCCTCCATCTCTTTTGCAAGCAATATCGAATCAGTAGCGGACGGATGGCACAACCAATCAAGCACTAGGGACGCACCGTTCTTTTTCAAGCAGGACACACCCAATACGCTTGAGCTCGCTCATTGCTTGATCTCCTTTGCTCGGATCAAAAGCAAGGCTGCACGCAATGTCCAAGTTGATGTCGAACTCAGCATCTCCGTGGTTGTCGATCAGTGCGCGATAAATGTCCAGTCCTTTGTCGGAGAAGGATAGCCCCTGAGCATAGGTGCGGGCTCCCAAGAGAGAGTCTTCCAGGCTCTCCTGTTCAAACAACATCAGCAACGACCGGCGTGCTTTCTCAAACTGCTTGTGGTCAACATAGAGCTTGATCATGAGCAGCAAGATCTTGGGCTCACGGCTACTTGGGACGAGGAAGTAGCACGTTTCTGCGCGCTCGATGTCGCCAGTCAAGCAGAGCGACTGCAGCAAATTGAGTAGCACATGCTGCTTGAACGAGGCAATCAGATCCGGAAAGCTCTCGTCGCCATCGCGCTCAAGAGCGTCACAAATGCTTAGCGTCTCTTCGACAAACGAGACCTGCAGCGCGTGGTGAGCCGCTTGCCTGTACCCGTCGCTCACGCTCGTCATGAGGTCCAGCAGACTGCCTGCGTACGACGCCTTGTAGGGCACGAACGTCTTCAGCTCGTGCAGCGACGACACAATCTCACGCGACTCGTCCGACTCGTGGACCGACCGCTCGGCCAGCAGCTGCAGCACGCGCACGCGGTCGACGCAAAAGTCCCACAGATCGTCCACAACGTCCTCGAGCTCCAGTCCGTGCTTGAACTTGGTCAGGTACGCGAGCCCGATGCGGGACCAGAGCTGTATGGACAAGCCAAACGACTCGTTGGCCAGCGTCAGGTACGCTTCACACTGCAGGCAGTCCGCCGACGCGCTCTCCAGCATGAGCATTCCCACGCGCCCATAGGAGCGTAAGACGTCGACGGATTCTTCCATGAACTGCGTACTCGGCTTCGCACAGTCTCTCGAGCACACAAGGGACAGTCCCATGATCTTTGCAGCTACGAACCTCGTGGTCGCCAGTAGATACCGCGGCGAACTCGTGGGCGGGCGGCTGTCGCTCGGCTCGTCGGTCTTCTCGACGTGCGCCAACATCCGGAGCGCAAGTCGTGGCGCGTTGTAGAGCTCGACGCCCGCGTCCATCAGTTGGGTGCCCGACAGCTCGAGCACGCGCTGCGCGCTGAGGATTGCGACAGTGTGTTGAAGCCCTTCGATCACGTGCTGGAAAGCCTCGAGCTTTGCCGAGAACGCGCGGAAAAAGGCCTCCGGCGCTGTCGACAGCTCGGCGTCCACCGAGAGGAGCGCTGTCGCCGCTGTTACGCCTTCCACGATGCGCAACGCGCCTTCGTCTTGCATTGTTTCCGTTGACCTGTTCGGTGCGCGTTGAATTGCACACTGCGCTGCGAGTGCGCGCGCGCAATTCGACCATCACTCCTGCTTCAACATGCACATGTCGGTGATCAGTGTCGTTTGTGAAAAACCTTGATCGCGGGGGATACGAGGTTATTCGCAAACTGAGCTTGTACCAATCCTCGACCGGAGTGGTACACTTGCGTGGTCAAACTCGCACATGCACCGCGCGCGGGTGTTCGTCGTCGCTGCGGCGCTGAGCAGCGCACTGTGCGCCGCTGGTCCGAAGGTCGACATCCGCGTCATTCCCCGACCGCGAGTGGAAGCAGAAGAAGAAGCAGAAGAAGCGGGAGAGAGTCCAGTGTCGCTTCTCACCCCGTCTCGCGACCCCTTTCCAGTGTTCGAAGGCACGTGCGAAGGAGGCGAATGCGTGGCACAGTGTATACAACTGTGTAGTGTAATCGCGCGCTCTTGTTTTGTGTTGTTTGCAGGTCCTTTTGCCGATGAAGAGAGACTGCCGTGTTTTCGAGAGGAGCGAGCGATAGATCTGGGCAAAAGGTGAGCACTTGTGACGTTTCTCCTGCCGAAACGGACGTTTCTCATGCTGTTTGTGCTTCCAGCTACATTTTTGACTTGTGTCTGCTAGCAAACGCAACACTTGAGATCATTGTTGAGGACGAGGGGGTGGAAGAAGTCGAGCTGGATGCGGCTGGTGACGTGTCGGAGCCTCTTGATGCGAAGAAGAAACACGTGACTGCAGAGCTGGACGAAGGGCCTACACCAGAGAAGGCGAAGCCAGACCTTAAGATGCTGGGGTACGATGTGAGGGTTTGTATGTGATGTCGGGCATCGATGATGCTGACTGGTCAGAGGCGCTTTTGTCTGCAGCATCTTCCGTGGCTGGCACATCGATCCGATCACGTTGAGCTACAAGTACATGATATTCGACGACGGAGACAAGTGTATGGACGGTGACCGAAAGTACTCGGTAACGGTCGAGCTGGTTCCTTCTAGCGACCCGGAATCCAGCACGAAGCTGTATGGGCTGAAAAGCTCGGGCATGTGCACTTTCGAGGCGTCACTGCTTACCTTTGTCCCGAACGAAGACCGTGTTGCAAGGCAGGGGATTCACACACCCGGCGTGGTCGACATCAGCAGCGCAGAGGCAGTGTTGCCCGAGATCTGCGGCAAGATGAAGTGTAGTTACGAAAAGATTGCGAGACGAGTGTACGATCTGTCCGTTCAGGTACAAGTCCGATGCGTTGCTATCTAGGTTTCGGCGGTTGCTGTTTGGCTCACTCCTTTCGTGTGTATGCTGCAGATCCGCGACGTCCAAGATACCTTGGCGGATGGGTCGTCGAAAGCAGTCTCACTGTTTACCAACATGACTCTAGAAGCATCGAAAAACACGCTGGAGTCTGCGGCCCAAATCGTTCGGAAGTCAGTCGAGTTGTTCCACGATATTGAGGTTCTGCAGCAGTCGTTGAGTAATGACTGGCTGGGGCGCGAAGAAGCGGCCAAGCGAGAGATCGCGCGGCAGGAGGCGGAGGGTGAAAAGAGGAAGATGGAGCAAAGTGTCGCCGAAGGTGCCTCAGCGGCTGCTGTAACTGTCGGAGAACAGGAGCAAGCGGTTGCGGAGAGCTGATCGAAAACAGTTGTTGCACAGGAAGGAATACACGAATTCTGTTGGTTTTGCTGCTAAGATTGTGGTGTTTGGCAAGTCTTCTGCTGCATCGCTGCCAGATACCCAGTCTACGAGACGGATACCCACACTTCATCGGAGTGTCTACGGGCAAGTCTTTGAGATTCCTCCGTGTCAAGGGGATACATAGTACAGTCTTGTTGCAGGCTTACTCGCATGCGTAGTCATCCATCAAAGCCCCGAGCCAGAACGTTCGGATGATCCGCACTTGCTGCATCATTCAGAGTGCTGAAAGTGCAGTGTGAGTGGCTTCTTTGGTTCGCGAGGATAGTGAGGAAAAACTGTTGCCAATGCGCCAGTAGCAACCAAACTGGGACCCGGAAGAAGCGCTGTGACGAAAGAAGTATTGATTGATATCAATGACTGGACCTCGCCTGACTGAGGACTTCTCTATGCGCCCAGCCAGCATTGATCCTGGTGCACTTATATGGCATGTTCGATCGATGGCGGCCTGAACCGATCAGCACAACACATGTAGAGTCTGCGGGCAGGAGAGTTCCAACAAGATTGTTGCAAAATTCCAGTACCTCTCATCCTCAAATCGTGAGTAACTTCCCGCTCTTACCGAGAGCGCAGGTCATGCTCAACACATCTGTCACATCTGTGGAGGCAGTTGCAATAGAGTGAACACGCAACTCCTCGACGGTATCCCTCTCGATTCACAAAACGTATATGGCAAGTCGTCGCTTCGTCCGAGAAGGCAAAGTTGCCGATTCTGATTGCGCATGCAGGGCAGACAATTGGCAGGGAGCTCTACACTGGCTGAGAAGCGTGTTAGGTCCCCTTCTTCATGATCGAAGTCCAGACTCGACGACTACGCACCTGAATGGTCATACGCGGTCAAAAACTACGACGTTTCGCCAACAATAGCAGCGGTTTTCTACTTGCCATTCTTCTTGAAACGTGAACGTTTGTCCGTGACAACCAGACAACCTGAATGGCAGGGTCTGGTTCCGCTCAGCTGTTGCAGTTACGGGTAACAAGAAATGTGCAGCGCCGTGTCAAATCGATTGTTAAGGATCCATCGCGGAACTACTTCGAGATGGCGTGTGCTTCGTCGTGACGCGCGGCGTCCTCTTCTCCACAGAGTCTTTGACGTGCTCTTCGCTAGCTAGCAATGGATCTATCTCAACCCACTGAACAAGGCCAAGTCTGCAAACCCGTCACAAACGGTACCAACACCACCGCCATATAAATGTCCAGGAAAAAGATTCGTTCCTCGACAGACGATCAGCTTTGATTTGCCAGCGGTACGAAATCGAATACACGGATCCCACCCAGTCCTGAACCTCAAGAAGAAGGACTCGCTGCTGACACAGCCGTTCTGTCTGTCAGCGGGCGGCCATTCCAATCGGTAGAAGATGTTCCAGCACGTTCTGACACTTTGCTTTCGACTTTACGACTTCAGGGAAACTGCTAAGCCCTCGAATCACGCCAGCAACTGCTGCTACTACTACTACTACTACTTTACTCGCCAGCTCGTCGATACAGTTGCCTGCTTAACCACTAAACGTTGTACAAAGCAAGTCAAGAATGATGCCCTATTCAGCTTGAGCTCGTTAGCTAACCGCCATACGCACAAGCAGCAGCAGGACCTATCCCATGACCTCCGAGACAGGCACAATGGCCGTGCCAGCAGCTCCCTGCAGCAACTAGTGCGATATCGTACACGTGTCTGGACTGCACGCTTCAGAGCTCTCCAAAATCTCGTGCCTCTGCACTCGCTCTCTCCACGTCCTTAATTATGGCGCAGCCAGTTCGTCAGCGCGTACTCCTGTCGGTCGTTGCTCGCCATGCGCGGCTGCTGGCCAGCAGTTCCTGACTGCGCGTCCAGCAAGTTCTGCATACTCAACAGCGTTTTATCCCGAGACGCAAAGCGCACCTCTGCGTCTCCGTTCGGGCAGAAAAAGTTGGTCAATTTGCCCGTTTCGTCGTAGCCACGACGGCATACAGCAGCCGGTGCACCAGTAGGCTGCTGCACAAACGGACGACCCGGGGGCGTCGTCGAGCCGATCGGTCCATACTGACTCGAATAAAAGTGGCCGCGTCCAACGAATGGCCGCGAGTGTGGCGGCGGGCGAATCGGCACGTCCGAATACGCAGCGCCCGTCGAGTCCAATCGCGGGTGCCATCCCAAGCCGTCGTCGTCGTCAGTGCGCTGCTGGTCCATAAACGGCACTGGATTGACCGACGCCAGCAGCGGCGACGACGAGTCGATCTTCCGCTTCTTGTTCGTCACCACCGGTGGCTGCAATAGTCCCGTGCCCAGTCCCGCTGGCGTCACGTACGCGCGTTTGGTCTCGAGCGCCCGCGTAGCTCCTCGACCCTTTGTCTTGCTCGGTCGGTCGGCCCCCGCCAGCCGCAACTGGGGCTGCCCACTGTACGCCTGCGCGCTGTTGTGCAGCATCTCCTTGAGCCGCATCTTCTCTTTGACCACCTTCTGGTACTGATCGTGGCGGAACTTGCACGCCTTCTTCAGTGCAACAATGAGCTCGCGCGGGTTCGGCACTTCGTCCTCCAGCGCCGCTGCGTCACAGGTCTCCAAGTACCTGAGAATGCTCTGGTTCACACACGCACGACGCGCGGCTTCCGTCTGCCGCGAGAGCTCCATCTGATACCGCGCGACTTGGATCAGCAGCTGCGTCTTGGCGTCTTGCAGGCCCTCGACGCGCTCCGCGAGCGTCTGCTTCTCGGCCACGAGGTGCTCGCTCTGGCTCTGCAGCCGCCGCAGCTCGTGCACGAGTCGGTCCTGTTGCGTCGCCTGCCACTGCATGCGCTCCATGAGTGTGTCCACGCGAGCGCTGAGCGCCGTCGCGTCGCCTGAAGTCGCTGCTGTCGACTGAGTTCCGAGCGCGTGGCCGTCACCGGCAGCAGGAGCGGCGGCCTCAGAGCCGCTGGGGACGTCCAAGTAGAGCGTAATGAGGTCGCTGTCGTCGGTCCGCCGGCGACAGATGGGGCACTGCGGGTTCACGTGCACGGCCTGGAGGATGCAGACGTGGTGGAAGACGTGGCCGCACGGCGCAGTCGCGAGGTCGTGGCGCAGCTCGTCGAGGCAGATGTGGCACTCTTGGGCGGCCGCCATCGCTCGTTGTGCGACGCCGTTTGGCAACTGACACCTCGAGAAGCCATACGGACGACAACTGGTGCGGCTGACCGACCGACCGACCGACCGACCGGCTGACTGTCTGACGGACGGACGGACGGACTGCTTGCCCGAAAATGGCGTTTCGCGGGTTGAGGTGGTGTGTACCACGTGAACGAGCGGCTTTGCTGCGTAATTACGCACGACGGCTGCGGGCGGTAAAAACGCGCCAGCGAGTTTTTCCCACGTTTTGGTTGGCTAGCAAGGCGTTTGTCCGTGGCGGTCAGAGGACGTTGGCGACGATAGCGCAACGTGTTAGTTACGTTTAGAAGACCAACGCGACAAAATGGTACGTAGATAGGGACCGCAGCAGCGCTGTGGGTGTGGCAATAGAGAGAGAGAGAGAGAGAGACGTGGGCGACGATGGCGTGTGTGCTGTGCGTATGTTTGTTGTGTGCTTTTGACAAGAGACTGATGTGCGATTGAATGTGCCCTGTGGTGCTTTGGTTATGTCCGGACAGCCGAAGCAGATCACCGACATCCGCGACTTTCTGCAGAAGGCGCGCCGAAAAGACGCGCGCTCGGTGAAGATTAAAAAGAGCGACAAGGTCGTCAAGTTTAAAATCCGGTGCTCCAAGTACCTCTACACGCTCTGTGTGACGGACACGGAGAAGGCGGACAAGCTCACGCAGTCGCTGCCTCCTGGTACGTAGTAGTTCGATCTCGAGCTCGATCTTGTGGGTCTGTTCGTGTCTTGGGATGTACGACGGTGACTGATAAACTTGATGCTGACTGCTCGCTGCTGGCTGTTTGGGTGTACAGGACTCCAGCGCAAGGATATTTAGGCTGCGGTAACGTGCGAAGTGCGGCGCAACAGAAAGTTCGGTCTTCTAAGCTTGTTGATGGTGGGGGCTGGTGGAAGGGCCGATGCAGTGCAAGACACGCAGGTGTCTAGTCTGCGGGGCAAAGGTGTCTGTGTCATGACGTTGTCTTTTTCGTCTGCTGCTCGTATGGTAACGAGTGCAATGTGAAAGAAGTCAAGGAAGTCGCAAATACCACCACCACTACCACCACCTTCATCCTCACGTCGATCGCCTCTGTTGCTTGATGAGACTCTTCTTCCGTTTGCTTTGCTTCTTGGCTCCTGTTGCCATGATCCATGCGGGTGATGCAATGTCAGCTGTCTGCGACTTTGCACAGCATCTCGTTGTTTGTGCGGGACACGAGTTGCTGAATATCTATCGCTTTGCGTCGACCCAGTCTCGATGTACCCTGTAGACAAAGAGATTTGCAGATGGTGACGTGCCAGTGCGTTGACCAAAGCAAACGTGACGAACAGCAGACCAGTACGACAGAAAGCTGTTGTTGCTTACTTAGCGTGTGTACATTCAGTCACGCAACGCACGGACTGCGCATCTGCCAACCGCTGTGCGCATGCGATCAAGCAAAGAGCCTCTTCATCCACAGCGAAGGTCTCTAGCCTTCTTCGAGCGAGTCGGATCTGCTCAGGCTGAGGGCTTGTCGCTGGGCGAACCAGCAGCAGCAGCAGCAGGCGATGCCGACCTGGACCGGGAGCGACGTGGCGATTCCTTGGCCGCAGCCGGCGAGCGCGAGCGCGAGCGATGGCCAGGCGAGCGGCCACGAGCGGGTGAGCGAGAGCGGGAGCGGCGCGCCGAGTCGCCCTCAGGAGCAACACGAACGTAGCTGCCACGGAACTCCGTGTCGTCCAGTTTCTTGATCGCGTCGTCCATGTCTTCCTTCGTCTGGAACTCAGCGACGCTAATTACATACATCAACAAGACCACAAACGAAAGCATGTCAAGTACTGCCACCACCACCACCACCACTCTTCTCTCCAGCGACAACAAGTACTTACGCCGAGCCATCTGCCTCAACATTGCAGTAAGTAACCTCGCCGCCCGTGCGAAGAAAGTCCTTGACATTTCGCCAGTCCACGTCGCGCGGCAGGTCCGTTACGCGCACACGGAAGTCTGTGCGCTGAGGCGGGTTGCGACCTGCTGCCATGCAGCAACGCATTCCAATAGTCAGAGCAAAGACCCTCAATGGCCAGAGCACAGCACTGCAAAGCAGTACGCATCAATACACTAACACAGCAGCCAAACCCACCACGTTCGAAACGGTCGCCACCGCGACCATGGCCGCCACGGTCGTCGTCCCCGCGACGGCCTCCATCACGGCCAACGCCGCCTTCGCGACGGCTGCCACCACGAGCGAGTTCCACACGGATCCTGTTCACGGCACACGGCACAGAAAAAGAGACAGAGACAGTAGACAAAGTCAGACCAACGCCCACAGGTCACTTGTCTTCAGTGGTCGTACCGTCCGCCCAAGAAGTCACGGCCGTCCATCGAGCGAATGGCATCATCAGCGTCCCGCGGGTCTTCGAAATCCTAGGGAAGAGGTGGAGAGGGGGCAGGAAGGAAGGGACGACGATGGAGAGGCGTTGGTTGGTACGGATTCGATCGGGGGCAGGCGAAGCAGAAGAAGAAGCAGAAGCAGAAGATGCAGCAGACGACGGAGCTACTGGCGCAGCATGATGGCACGTCGTTCGTCCATTGACACTCGTTCTCGAACTCTCCCTCACAGCAGACAACAAAGAGGCACCGAAGAGACGGCGAGACGACTGACAACAGGCAGCAGCGGTCGCAGCTGCAGCAGACGGAGCGGCAACAGCGACCCAAACAGCTGCAACGAGGCGGCGACGACGACCACAATCAGCACACGGAGACCGACGACTGCAGTTCGTTTGGCTACACCTGTCTACTATACACATCCATGCACACATATACAAACGTAGAGTATACATACATGCAGTATACATGTGTACACAATAGGCACACAGAGCACGGAGCTTCGGCCGTGCTGACGGACCGACTGCGTGGCCGCCCACGTCGTCCGTGCGTACACGTCTTCTACCAGTAGCGTCTGCAGCGCAGCGAGGGCGGAGGGACGGAAGACGAGAGGAGAGGGAACGAGCGAGCGAGGACACGCCATCATGCGCGCACCGTCGTGCGCCCAAGAGCGCGAGCGAGAGAAGCAGCAGCGCAACTCACCACGAAAGCAAAGCCGGGGGGATTGCGCGCGACCCAAATGTTCGACACGTGGCCGTAGCGGTTGAAGCCGTCCTGGATCTCACGCGACGTGGCGTCACGCGGGAGGCCGCCGACGTAGACGCGGGTGCCCATACTGCTGCGGAGGATCGTCCGGTCGAGTGCGAGGAGCGGAGCTGCGGGGAGCAGAGCGGGCGCGAGATGGGGAGCGACGGCGTCTGCTGTGGGGCGACAGGCGGCGACGGCGGACGAAGGAGGCGCTTTGGGTTGTGACTGGTTCAACGCGGTTGGCGGCCGGCGGCGCATATTGACCAATCAGCGCAGCGCATCGAGGTGGTGTGTGGTTGGTGTGGTTGGTGTGGTGGTTGGTGTGGTCGACACACACACACAAACCTTCGCGCCAGTCGGTGCGCCACCCATCCGCTCGAGATGCTGTCGACTGCAGCGCGTCGACTGCCCGTTGCAGCAGCAGCGAGCGCGCGGTCTGCTGCGTTCAGTCGAGTCGGTCGCCACGTGCCGCGTGTCGCACAGACGGCACCGCCGTCACCGTCTCGCTCGTTCTTTGGTCTCCGTGAACTGCTCTTTGGTCCGTCGAAAGCGGCTTCCGAAGTTAACGTGTTGCAGCTCCAAGAAGCAGACCCGAAGCCGATCGTGACGCAGCCAGTCGAGACCGACGAGCGGACTGTCATTGCTGGGAGTGTAGAGCCTACGCGGTATGCCGTTGGCAAAGTTGCCAAGCTCGCTGATGGCGCTCTGCTGGCCTCGTGCGGTCGCACGGTGCTGCTCACGACGGTCGTGAGCGACCGCGACCACACGACGAACAGCGGAAAAGACTCGGCTGCCAGTCGGTCGTCGCAGCGGGACTTCCTACCGCTCACAGTGGACTTTCGTGTCAAGTCGCATGCGGTTGGGCTCATTCCGGACAACCAGAAGCGCCGCGAGTTCACGGGCAGTGACGAAGAAGTGCTGCAGTCGCGCGTCGTAGATCGAGCAGTCCGTCCGCTGTTTCCACGCGACTACTGCGAAAACACGCAGCTGCTCGCGACGGTGCAGTCGTACGATCCGAACAACGACCCGCTCGTGGTTGCGGTCAACTCGGCTTCGGCCGTGCTGAGCATGTCGGACGTGCCGTGGAATGGACCAGTGGGCTGCGTGCGTGTGGTCGAAGTCGATGGCCAGTTGGTGGTAAACCCCACGGCTCCGCAGCGTGATGCGGCGACGCTGGATGTGCTCTACGCTGGTACAGCGGAACGAGCCGTGATGATCGAAGCTTCGGGCGATGAGGTGGGTGAGACACGGCTTGGCGAGGTGCTAGAGCTGGCGCAGGCGAGTGTGCTACCAGCGATCGAGGTGCAGAAGAAGCTTGTAGAAGAACATGGAAAGCAAAAGCGCGTGTACTCGCCGCTGTTTATCGCGCCAGAGGTTTGGGCCAAGGCGGAAGAGCTCGGCCGTAAGGATACCGAAGCGCTGATTGCAAGTGGTCACGTTGGTAAGCTCGCCCGGCAACAAGGAGAGCGCGAGGTCTATGGCAAGATGCTGAACGGCATGCGTCAGCACTTTGCGGCTGCGTCTCCTCCAGTCGACGATGCGGCGATCGTACGTGCTGCTCATGACACGTTCCAGCGCGTGCTGCGAGAACGCATCTTGACGGTTGCAAACGAGACAAAAGGCTCGAAGAGCAGACCTGCGCGACTAGATGGCCGTCCAGCTTGGACCGTTCGTCCGCTAGAAATGGACGCTGGAGCGCTGCCAATGGCCCATGGATCTTCTCTTTTCGCTCGAGGCGAAACGCAGACCCTGTGTTCCGTGACATTGGGACCTCTGGAGCGCGGTATTCGTCTCCGTGGTGCACTCCAGGAAGCGCGCGAGCAGGCTGAGCCCAGCGCTCCTACGCCAATGAAGAACGCCATGCTGCACTATGAGTTTCCACCTTTCTGCGTGAATGAGACTGGCCGCATGGGTGGCACCAATCGACGCATGATCGGCCACGGTGCTCTGGCTGAAAAAGCGGTTCTGCCGATTCTCCCGACTATCACTGAGTTCCCGTACACGATCCGCATGACGTCAGAGGTGATGAGCTCAGACGGCTCGTCGTCGATGGCGACAGTGTGTGGCGTATCGCTGGCGCTCATGGATGCCGGTGTCCCCGTTCGCCGTGCCGTTGCTGGTATCGCCATGGGTCTCGTCACGGCTGGCGACCCATTTGCCGGGCAGGAAAAGGCCATTGACGACGGCGACTACCAGTTGCTGACGGACATTCTCGGAACGGAGGACCACTACGGCGACATGGACTTGAAGGTAGCCGGCACGGCATGTGGCGTGACAGCATTGCAGCTGGACGTGAAGCTGCCTGGGGGCGTGCCGCTTTCGGTGCTGAAAGAAGCACTGCATGAAGCCAAGCAGGCACGCCTGCATGTGCTGCGTCGCATGAGCGCTGAACTTGCTGAGCCGCGGGACACGCTCAAGTCGACTGGCAGTGCACTGCCGAGCGTGAGCGTCGAGTGTGCGGTTGCTACGAACTTGATCGGTGCACTGATTGGCGTCGGCGGGAACAACATCCGCGATTTGGAGTCGCGTTTCAACGTCTCTGTGCACATTGTGAACCGCCGGGACGGCATTGTGCGGATCGTGGGCACAGTCGACGACACGTCCAAGGCCCGTGACTGGTTGGACACTGAACTTGCTGTTGTTGCCCAAGCTGGTCCTCGCATGACGAGCCATAGCACCGCCGACAGCACCGGCAGCAATGAGGACAGCCGTGACAAGGACCAGGGCACGAGCAAAAGCGGCCGGTCGTTCTTTTTCCGAAAAGGTGAGCGCTACACGATGCGCGTGACGCAGGTCATGGACTTTGGCGCGATCCTCGAGTGCTCGACTGGCCAACGCGGCTTCGTGCACGTTTCCGAGCTCTCCCGCGACAAGGTCAGCAACATCCGGAGCGTCGTCTCGGAAGGTCAAGAGATGGAAGTCGAGTGTCTGCAGGACGGCGCGTCGGGCAAAATGTCGCGTCGCGTGTTGCTGAGCACCGACGGAGGCGACGAGCCGGCGGCGCCTGTGTCTGCGTTGCCAGAGACCGCACCGTCACGGACCAGCAAGCACCACACTCGTCGCTCGTCGGCGTCTTGGCGCCGATCCGAAGCTGCTCGCCACGCGCGGACGTAGTCACGTGGGACGAGCGAACGCGGGGCAGGTCACGTTATTATTGTCTTAGCGGTCGGACTGACGTGCAGGAAACGCTCTTTTTCGGGGCACGTGGAGCTCGTGTTGCTACTTTGATGGTGTGCTGCTACGGGGCGGCCGTGTCATTGAGCGTGTTTCGCTCTAGGGGTCGGATGGCTGCGACGGTGACCACGGGAAGCACAATGGTCAAGTGCTGTCCTGCTCAGGAGCTCCTGAGCCGATCGATTTCGATGTGAAAGGGGTACACTGCACCGGGGACGATGTTTAGAAACGCGTCCTATGCTGTATGTCAACGTATCTAAATAGAGGATATGCTGCTGCCCGAACGTAAACTGTAAAAACATGGTCCGACTAGCATAAAACACAGGGAATGGCGTGCTGGACGATGTCGGCGCGTCCGACTCGGATACGGTCGATCGACACATACACTGTATGAGGTATATACTGTATACGAGCGCAGCGCACACCACCATCATGCCACTGTCGTTATCCATTCAAACAAGTCACTCCGCTACGACAGCCTCATGGCGACTCCTCACCACAAGTTCTCGCTGCGGTGTGAACACAGTTACCTCAAGATTGCCATGTACGCGTCGCGTTTGTCATGTCTGCACCCCATTCTGCTGCTATAGTCCCTGCGGTCGTTTAATGCTCGAGCGCTGCACCTGTTGTTGCTGCTGCTGTTGCTGCTACTTCAGATTCTTTGACGACGGGGCCGGCACTGTCGCTGACGTCAAGCAGCTCAAATTCGCCATCGACAACACGCTCAAGACAGCGTTCGGTGCAGTGGGAGCTTCCGCGAGCGAGTTTGACGTCTTGGCCTTCGAGAACATGGCTGCAAATGCCAGCGAGCCCAGTACGGCACTGCTGCGCGTCCAGCGTAGCGGTCTCGAGGTTTTGTGGGGTGCCACGACCATGTGCACGTCAATCAACGGGAAGCTCTGCAAGCTCGAGGTGCTGCACATGGGCGACTCGCTCATGGACATGGCTTCAGGAAGGTTTCTGTAGCGATACGGCCAGCGCCGCAGCAGTATAAATGACGGCAGCTGCTGCCTGACTCGCCGACTTGGCATCGCACTTCATCATCACGTCACTTCGATCCACACCCGAAACGATCTACACAGCAGCTTCAGGAGCACCAACGACAATGGTCTTCTCGGAAAAAGCTGAGCGCTTGCGGTTGCGCTTGAGCAGCACAGTGCGATCAATCGGGTCGTTGTGTGCATTCAGCCGCATGGTCGAGCGCTGCTGGTCTCCGCTAGAGCTCTGAGCGCTCTGCATGGCTGACATGCGCGACACACCAGAAGTGGCCTGCATGGCTGAGCTCAGCGACTGCACCGAGGCCGTAAATGATGGGATCGAAAGCGAAGACCGACGCCGCCGCAGCCCTTGTCCAGTTGGCACACGTTGGTGGGTTTGATGGCCCAGTTCTTCCTCATCCTCTTGTCGAAGGGTATCGAGCACTTCGTCAGTCAGCGTCGCGCGGTCGAACGCGTTGAGCAGAAACTGGCGCAGTGCCAACCGATAGCTGTACTTCTCCAGCAGCGCGTGCACGTACATCAGCAGCACCGGCTCTTCAAATAGTTCTGACTTCGACGAACGCAGCTTGTTGAGCGAAGCATGCGCCTCTTTCTGGGTAATGTGATTGCTCAAGTCTGCAACGAAGCGCAGCACTTCATGCCACTCCTTGGGCATCTTGTCGCGCCGGCGTGCGAGCAGTCGCTGCAAAGGCGAAGAGGAAGGTGTCTGCGTCAACGGGCAGCAAGTTGATGATCCGGACGGCGGCCACAAAAAGAGAGACGTGCAGTTTTGCGGGACAGCAATGGACGTGCGAGACGCATCGCGCGGGGCGTCCCATCCCAGACGCGCCAAGTGCCGCCGGCCGGCAGTAGATCGCGCAAGTAAGCCCAGGACGAAAAAGCATGTGCCGCGAATGGACACGAGCGGTGAGTCCGTAGCCAGCTTCACGATCATCTCCACAAAGTCTTGTGCGTAGAGGCTCAGCAGGTCATAACCGCGCGATGTAGCAGCCACGTGACCCAGTGCCCACAGCGCAGCACGCTTCTCAAGCGGGACGCTCGCAGCATCCCGCAGGCATGCAAGAAACTCGGGCAAATGCCCGGACGCGTGCAGGATCTGGCAGCCGGCACTGGTTTTTGCCAACTCACCATACAAGTGTACTGGCAGCGGCACCGTACGCGGACGAAGAGGTAGCAACTGCAGCGTGAACTCGACAGACTTGAGCAAAATGCGCTTGACGCTCCCATTTGTAGTGTTGGTACCTGCAGCTGAGTCCATCTCGACACGAAAGTTCCACACAGCACGTTCGCCCGGGGCGCACAATGAGCACTCAGGTGCTGACAAGTATTGGGGCGAGCGCTGTTCAGGTTGGCACGAGCTCCAATCCTTGTTCTCCTCCTTTGCCGTGTCAGCAGAAGACGATCCATTATCGGCGAAGTCCAGCGACGACGATGTCGTTTCCGACGTGCGTTCCGTACTCGGGTTCGATGCCGATCGCGCACGCAGCATTTTCTGCTGCGCATCGCTTGATAGACCAGCTCCGCTGCTACTGGCCGATCCGCTCGTCGACACAAACCCTCCATTGCTCTGGGGCGGAGGCTTTGTGAATCCGCGCCGATCAACTGGTTGCGTGCCTAAGAACAGGCTGGCCTGCAACGTTTGCTGTGAGTTTACCACGACTGGCTGTGGCATATTGCGCGCGTCCACAACAATTCCTTTGACACGAATCGAGTTCATGCGGAGTTCGTCGTCAACGCCCGTAGCATCATCCTCGTCGCGCATTGCAGCATCAATGTACGTTTCCAGGATGAGGTTCGATGGAGGACCGCTTCCTGGTGGCCCCACGATCTTGACCTCCATGTTCCACGGCATGCGGTACAACCAATCTAGCCCCCAGAGAGACCGCTGACTGCTTCCGCCATTAGGTGGTTTATGCCCACCTCGCTTCATGGGCACGTTTACTGGAATGGGCGTGGGAGAACACGTCTGACGAGTGTTCGTCGAGCTACTACTCGATCCACGCTCGCGTCCGCTGGCATCACGATGCAGACCGCGGAAAAGCGCGTGCTCTACGGCATGCACGTACAGAATATGCTTCTCACGGCGCCAAGCGGCTAGAGTGCGCGGGATCCACTCGCCTGTGTCGCGAAGAAAGTTCAGACCCTCCACAAGCGAGAGCGACTTGAGAAGCAAAGACTCGGCTCGCTTGTCCTTCAGTTGGATAAGCCGCATCGGTCGCTTTAGAATCATCGCTAAAAGACATGCAGGCGTCTCGGCAGCCTCTTCCAGTACACTCAATGCCGCCTTGGCAACCTCCTCTTCCTGTGTGAGCTGTGTCACCAGCGCATCGATGCCCCACTTTTCGAAATCTGCTACTTCAGAGCGCAGCAATGCACGCAACAAGCAGGTCGCATACAGACGCAAGGCCTTCGAGCCCTCCATCATCCAAGACTGAAGCAGCTTTCGGGAGCTGCCGTCAACTGAGTAGTCCAGATTGGCTAGAATGAGCCGACAGAGAAAGTCATGACCCTTGGTCGTTCCCATGACATACAGACGCTGAAACAGGTTCGATTGCTCCATCATCTTGAGACCTTCTTTGCTCGAGCTCATCAGTCCGAGAAGAGTGAAGTACTCACGCAACATTCGCCGCGACACATAGTCGGGTGAGAACATGCGCGCTTTGAGAACGCCAATGTGCGACTCCACGATCGCAGCTTCCGGGCGTGCTTCTAGCTCTAGTGCTGACGAGATTTCTGTCAGCAATTGACCGCGACGGTCTGTCTTCAAGAAGAGCAAGCCTTCAGGATGGTTCAGTAGAAGTGTGTACATTTGACAGGCCGGGCGCAGATAAGGCACATGGTCCGGTATCCAGTACAAGTTGGAGAAATAGCCCTTGTTACCTTGGTCGCAGCGGAAAAAACCTGACAGACGCTTGAAAAACTTCGTCTTCATTGCTTCTGACAGCCGCTGTGGGTTCGTAAGTGGACCCTCGAGCATCTCAGAGATAATATCCCAGTTCCAGTTCTTGTAATTCTTGTCCGTTAGCACGCGTGAACGATTGTGCAGCATGTCTTTGAAGGTACTGTCGTCCATCTGTGCATCCAGTGATTGCTTTAGCTCGAGAACCATCAGTTCCCGTGACGTCAAGCTATCCTTCAGTTGCGCCATCGCGCTCTTCGTGCCACGCTGTGTCGAAGGAGTGGCTACAGCGTAGTTGGCAGAGCCACTGCTCGTGCCTCCAATACCGCCACCACCGCCAGATGATGGGATACGCACTACACCTGCAATTTGTTGCAGAGCCAGTAGGTTTGACGGTCGATTCGTGTCGCGCAGGAGCTCAGATGCCAGTTGGACGCCATTCACACCGCTACCACCGTATGAGACCAACGACACCCCACGCGTGGCAATGCTGCCTGAGTTTGCACCGACAGCGTTGGCCAGCTCACTCAGCATTTCGCTCGCTCGAATTGACTTTTCGCGCTGCAAACGCTCCACAAGACTCCTCGCATGATCTCCGAGCGACATCGTCGTCGTACTCGTAAGCGAAGTCGACGATACTAGCCGCGGAAGCGCAAGCAAAGTCGCACAATGCTGGTCTGGAAGCAAACGCGAGGCCATACGCAAAATGTCCGCTAACAGGTCCATTGCCGGCTCGGCCAGTGCTCGGGACGGACCTGTCCCTAACGTCACCAATGCCTCCAGGATGCCGCAGTGAATCATCGCTAGTAGAATGATGACTGTGTAGTTGTCGAGCAGATTGTGGTTGACCGCAAGCGGCATCTGTTCAGCGCTTGGCATAGTGATAGGGAGGGACGGTGTGTCTGCTCCAGCGTCAGCTGCCGACTTGTCGAAACTCGTCTTCTTGTAGAAAATCTCGCAAACGGTGGATAGCACTGCTTTCTGTACGTCTTCACCTACCGGTCGGACCAGTAGCTGAATCAACGACTGCAGACCTTGTGGATTGCTTGTGAGCACGACCATACCGGTCCACGACCGCATCATCGTGACAATAGCATTCCGACTTGCCATCCACCGCTGTCTCCGCTCGTTTCCTGCTGGCAAGTCAGTGTCTGTGAACGGTGCCAGCAGGACCTGGGAGTCCACGAAAGGCTCAATAAACTTGCGTGTCGACGGTTCATTCAGTATCAGCAGCAGTGTCATGAGCAGCGAGTCGGCCAGGTCTTGGAACGACGGCTCGAGGATCGCATCAACCAGGATCTTGGTGCCATTAGCTTCAGCTACGACCTCAACGTTCAGCAGCGCCAGCTGTCGCAGCGTCTCTAGACACACGCGTCGCATGTTGTCGTCCTTGTGTCCTGCAATGGCCGTCAGCGAAGCTACGAGACCCGTCGGCATCTGCGCCGCGTCGATCTCCATCACGCGTCGCATGACCTTGAGAGCCTGCACGCGCTCAGCCAAGTGCTTCTGCTCGCGCTCGAGCGAGCGCACGACAAACACTGGCAAGTTGAGGTCCACAAAGTGCTTGATGCTCTTGCTGCTGCTGATGGCGTAGCGTAGGGCTCGTAGGGCTCCTGCGCGCGTAGAAGTGTCCGAGTCGCACACGAGTCGACGCATGGCCTTCATGAGCCGCTCCATGGGGAAGCTGTCGAGCAGCAGCGGGTCGTTCTTGAGCTCCTGTGCATTGTATAAAGACGCCGTATCCAAATGGCAAAGAGCATCGTCAGCAATAAGGGACCACAACATTAGAGCACACAGAGGATGCGCTTTGAGTCAATCGAGCAATAGAGCGACGAATAGAACAATAGAGCGCGAGCAAGAAAAGATGTGCCGTCGTACGTAGCAGACGCGACCGGTGCTGTCGAGCTTGGACTTGCGGTCCAAGGTGCTGCGTTCGATGAGCGTGCAAATGACAGCGAGGCTGCTGTCCCCGCGCGGAGCAGCGCCTCTCGCTAGCGTCGCCATGCAGGGGTCGAGGCGAGCACGACGACCGCTGTCTCTGTCTGAACAGACCGACCGACCGACCGACACTCGAGGCGAAATCTAAAATACAGCACGCGCACGTGAATTACGGGACCTCGTGTATACACGCGTCACCCGCGCGGTATACACAGGACGACACCCCCAGGCGGGTCTTTTGCGTCCGAAAAAGACCCCACCCAACCCAGTGTCCCGCCAGCCATCGATCAGTCAAACACCCACTCACCCACTCACCCACTCACGCGTTGCGAACGATGCACCGACTGCAGCGCAGCGTGGCCAACGCGCTCGCGTTGTCGGCCCCTCGCGCCGCCTCTCGCCCGCGTGCCGTCAGCACACAGCCACAGCAGCAGCAGCAGCAACGCGCCGTCTCGATGCTGTCCAACCTGTCGCTGGCCCCCGAGAAGCCGCTGCCGCCGCCGCGTGTGGTTCCTGCAGCGCAAGCGGTGCACGTGACGCCATTGGGGGACTTGGAGCTGCAGCTGCTGTCCCTGACCGACGACGACAGCGACGCCGCTGCTGCTACAAGCGATCTCGGGACGATTACGATGGACGGAGAAGTGTTTGGCGCGCCGGACCGCGTGGACATTCTGCACCGCGTCGTGCGGTGGCAGTTGGCGTGTCGGCGCGCGGGCACGAACAAGACCAAGACGCGGTCGGAAGTGAGCGGCTCGACGCGCAAGCCGTGGAAGCAGAAAGGGTCGGGACGCGCGCGTGTGGGGGACATCCGCGCCCCGCAATGGCGCGGCGGGTACCGTGTCCACGGCCCCGTGCTGCGCGATTTCTCGTACAGTCTGCCGAAGAAAGTGCGCGCCATGGGCCTGCGCGTTGCCTTGTCGACGAAACTGCGTGAGGGAAAGCTCGCGGTTGTGGACTCGCTGGACGCGAACGTACGTGTGCTGGATGGGCTTGTGGTGGTTGTAGTTGATGGTGGCGGTGGAGGTGTTGGTTGTCGCTCGACATTCTTGCGGCCGAGTAGCTTTTGATGAGGTGTGAGTAGCTGTTGTTTTGACTTGCTGTTGTTGTCGTTGTTGTCGTTGTTGTTGTTGATTTGAGCAGGTCAGCAAGACAAAGGAGATGAAGCAGTTGCTAGGTCGTCGTGGATGGGACCACGCGCTGTTTGTAGGCGGAGAGCAGGTTGACTCGAGCTTCTTGTTGGCGACACGCAACATCCCGCACGTCGACACGATTCCACAGCACAAGATCAACGTGTACTCGATCTTGCAGAAAGACTTGCTGATCATCACGAAAGGCGCTGTCAAGTACCTCGAGGAACGTCTGCACGTCGACTAGAGAAGGAAGAACGTCGCAGCAGAGTGACGGGCGCAGCGACATGTATAGACAGTTGATCTGCACGGAAGTGGCAGCAGTCTAGACCAAGCGACAGATTGACGGATGGGGAATAAGCGCTCAGCCTGTTTTTTTTTCACCCGCGTCTGCGTCTCCACTTGAACGATCCTTTCTGCCACTCTGACACTCGGCTCACTCAGATGGACGGCGCTTTGCTGAGGTCACCTGTCGGCAAGAGCTCCGAGAACTTGTCCGTAGCTCGCAGTCGCTCTTCCACAAGAGCTGGCTCACTGACCTCACTAGCAGCCGAGTCGCAGGCGGTCAACAGATGGGCCTGACCCAGGAACTCTTTGGCCTCTGTCAGCTCCGCTGTGAGCACCTCACGCTGCTTGTCCATAGCAGCCTTCAGTGCATCTCGCTTGGCTTGGAAGCTGCGGCCATTGGCCAGCACCTTCGTCAGCGTGTGCTTGATCCATCGACTCTCTCGCTTGATCTCGGCCACGTCGGTCGCGCTCGAGCCAGCACTAGACCCGAACTCGCCCACGGCCATGCGCTCCAAGTGCCAGCCACTCAACTCGCCCATGCGAGCGCTGGGAGCGCTTAGGTCGAGGATCTCGCGGAAGTTGTCAATGTTGCGTCGTTGCTACTGGTGGGTACACACAGACAGAGGGGCGTTAGCAATGAGCCGCTAGTGCGGAGGTCACAGGTCGAGACGTACGTCGTAAACTGCTGCGAGCTCCGTCCACTTGTCTTCCAGACCAGTGCGCGTATAGAGGTCGCACAGTTCGCAGATAGTGGCGGCGCCTGCAGTCGCGCCGCCGTCCTTTGCGCTGCTGCGCTGCAACATGATGAGCGTCTGCGTCGAAGAGTGGGTACAGCAGTTGAACAATTGTGTCGTTTTGGTCCAGTGATGGGCATCAAATGTATCCACGATCACAGAAACGGAGGCAAAGTGCAGACGGTGGTTACACTATTCACGACGAATGGAAGTGGGTCGGTTCAATACCATGAAGCCCACGGCCTCGTCTACAAGCTCACTCACTTCCTCAAGACATGGCGACTGGTTTGATGCTATGTTTGTAGTGAGCCTGAATGCAATAGACGAGGAAGGAAGCAGGTAGGAGTCAGCCGATCAGGATATACAAAACGGATCGATCTTGAACTGTCCATGGGCGATTGCTGCATCGACGAACGAACGAGTGCTACTACAGCTCACGATGCCTCACTGACAACGATTGGCGATGCACTGGTTGGGAAGCAGCAAGACGCTTGTGCGATGTCTTTGGCGACCACCGAAGGCGACTTCCACGCGTTTGCAATACAATGAAGTTGACAACACGTCGTGGAGTCTTTGCATCATGCGATCTGTCGCAGCTAAATAAGTACTTCCAGCACCCCATCCACTGGTGCGTATTGACTGACATCGGCTTCGTACGTCGACGACGATGCTGATAAGGACTACGAATGATTGAAAACGTGGCGCTGCTCTCCACATGTGCCGAAGGCATAAACACACCATGAGCACATTCTGCGCTTTTCGCAATCCTTGCGAGGGGTGAAATGGTCAGACTATATTTGGTCCACAACTTTGTCAAAAGACACAATTTCGCTCGTGTAGCATGCGCTGCCACTACGCAGTGCTGGGCATCGCGCGCGACGCGTCAGCCGTCGAGATCAAGCGGGCGTTTCGCCAACAGGCACTGCGGTGGCATCCGGATAAGCACCAGCAACATGGCGTATCCAGTGACGAGTCGACCGAGAAGTTCCAGAGCATCCAGAACGCCTACGAAGTGCTCAGTGACCCGCACGAGAAGAAATGGTACGACGACCATCGAGAGCAGATCTTGCGTGCCGACGACGACGACGGCGACGGCGACGACGAGATGGACCTATTCCGTTACTTCAGTGCCTCGGTCTATTCGGGTTTTGGCACGGACGAAACGGGCTTTTATTCGGTGTATGGAGATCTCTTTACAAAGGTACAGCGGGCTGCACCTTTGTGACTGCTTTGTTTGCAGTGAGATCATTATAGACTAACAACACGTATGGCCTTGACAGATTGACGAACTAGATCGGGATACTGGTGATAGCAACAGGTCTGAAGCTGCACCGGGGATAGGCCACGCTGGCACGTCGATGAACGATGTCAACGCGTTTTACCAGCACTGGAAGAGCTACATGACGCAGCGCAGTTTTGCATGGGTAGACGAGTACAAACCTAGTGAGGCACCGACAAGAGTCGTGCGACGAGCAATGGAGAAGGAAAACAAGAAGCTACGGGATGCAGCGAAGAAGGCGTTTACGACTGAAGTGCGCGAGTTGGTGGATTTCGTGTGTCGTCGGGACCCCCGAGTGCAGTCATTTCAAAAGCAAAAGCAGCAAGAAAAGGAGCAGCAGCGCATGGAAGAAGAGGCAAAGAAGCGCGAGAAGCAGGAGGCTTACGATATGGAGCGACGAGTGTTCCAGGAGCAACAGGAGAAGTTCTGGACAGATGGCAGTATGGAGACGAGTCGCGTCAATGATCGAGACATTGAGCTGCAACTCCAAAAGTTTCGGGAAAAGATGGATGCTGACGTGCTCGTGTGTGACTTGTGCTGCAAGACGTTCAAGTCCACAAAACAGTTGCAGAACCATCTTGTGTCGAGAAAGCACCGTGAGAAAGAGGTGGAACTTGGCGTCGTCAGTGCTTCCAGCGCCTTGGATGACGAGATGGATAGAGATCTGCGAGAGGAGCTCGTTGCTCTTGGCAAAGTCAAGCTTGAGTCGGATGGCGATGATACGGTGTCTGCCAAGTCGTCTACAAAAGCGAAGCCAACTGATGAATGTGCCGAGCAGGAGAAAGAAGAGGGGGAAGCTGCACGAAAGAAAGCTGAGGCTGATAGTGTGCGAATTGAAAAGGAGCAGAAGGCAGCCGAGAAGCGCCGGGAACGCAAAGAGATGCGCAAGAACAAGAAGAAGGAGCACGTGGAAGAGATCGTGAGCAGTGCGCGCTCGAAAAAGGAGAAGAAGGAAGAAGACGGAGAAGACCAGCGTGGTCGCGGTAAGAAAAATGGCAAGAAGCGTCGATAGAAGATATGATCAGCAGGAGCTCTTGTTTCGATAGTGAAGCAGTGAGTCTGGACTTCCGTGCACGGCCGCCTATCCATGGACGTCTGTGTATCAGTCAATGTCGCACGTTGTACGGTCGTCGAACTGAAGATGTTGTTCATGGGACCTGGAAAGGTGCACCTTTCCGGCACTTACACAAAGGTGAAAGCTTTGTACCTATGAGTCTGCTGGTCGCGTCGGATCGCTTGTCTCGCGTGTTTACAGGACCACCCACTCGATCCGTTCGTGATGAAGTTACAGAGTCGAAAAACGCTTTCTACGTGTCTACGCGCAGTCCAAGCAACAGCTTATCGACGGCTGGATCGATGGTCAGGATTTCTGCGAGCACGTGCGTTTAGGCAGCTCACAGATGTCGCGATGTAGCTACGAAGTTCAATTTCGTACACCGATCACTCGACAGAATCGGCACATGCATAAGATTCCGAGTGTTTGTATCGATGTCGATCAGAAGATACCCAAAGTACGTACGTCAGAGTGAGTTTCGCCTTTCGCGTAGCTATCACGTGGCCACGTCGTGCATCGCTAAATGGGTAAATAGTATCGCGCCAGTGTGCGAACCTCTTGCTTGTTGTATCCCCCCCCCACACACACACTTATCGGATAGCACAGCAACCCACCGTCAGAGTCGTCGAAGCACGTGCACGTATGGTCTTGACGGGTCGAAGAGCACCAGCGACTGGGATTGACAGGGAGGCGGGGCATGAGCAATAGGTCTGCTGACAACCAGTTGTTACAAGTGCTTGATGCTACGTACTGACTTCCCACTGCCAGGAACGTCGTCCCCTCGAAGGTTCGACTAGACCACGTACGTACGTACGTACATACGTGCGTATACCACATGACAACGACGAAGACCGCGACGACGACAGCGAGCTGCTACTTTCGAGCAAACAGCTGACGTGTCCCTTTCGTGACAGCCAACGCAGTCGCACTGCAATCCCAACACGAGCCGTCACGACGACGTGGTCGGTCGACTGCCATCGAACGTCTCTCGTTTCTACTGCGCCCCACGCACTCACGCGCACAGAGCGACAACCCGACAACACCACTCGGGTGCACCACAAAGAGAGAAAAACGCCCATCAACCAAAAGCTCTGGTGCTGTGCTGGTCTCGTCCCGGACGTGCAGTCTGCGGTCGACGACCGTGATGATGTGAACGCCCACTGTGAGGCCCCAAGTGCAGCAACGAAGCGCCGCGACCCGAGGAAAGGTCGCCGTGCGCTGACCAGCACGAACACTCCCTGAAACCGTTGCGGCCGAAGCCTCGACGAACGCGCCTGAGTGAGGCACAGGCGGCCACGCACTGCATACTCAGCGCAAGTGACAGCGGCTGCGGCTGGTTGAACACCCCATACGGAACAAAACGCCCCACGCGACGACGTTTCGTACCACATGTCGGTCCGATCTCTGCACGCCAATGCTGAGACATGTGCCCCCCCCGTTCAGTACCCCTCGCCCAGTCACTCACTCAGTTACGCAGTTACGCAGTTACGCACTTCGAGTCGTCAGCAGCACAGCAGTTCGCTCCACGTGCAGCGCCGCAGCTGCTCGTCACGAGGAGGAGAGCGAGCAAGCGCCGCAAAAGAGCGACCGAACTGCGCCCGTGTGGCAGCTCACCCGCTGGCAATATGCCCTGTGCCTTCTTCCAGCCACGCGCAGTCGTTGCGGCTGTGATCGGCTATGCAACTGCTGGAAGCGCCACGACTGGTGCTGCTGCCTCCGACCTCTGTGTCGCTCCGGCGCAGAACACGCTCTCGAGCCGCTGCTTTGGCGTCTGCAGCTCGTCGCTCTGTGTGAACTACGCGCTCGCGACTGCAAAGCACGAGCAGAGCGCGTCGACCAGCGACGGCAGTGCCGCTGCTTTCTTCCATAGAGGCTGTGCTGCCGCCAAGATCCCAACGTGCAAGAGCAAGACGCGTGTCCTGGGCACGTGCGAGGTGCAGTGTCTGGTCGACACGCCGAGTAGCTGGAGCCACGCGCAGTGGACGCTGCAGATTGCTCAGCCTCAGAGCGACAAGACGAACACGGCAGTGTTCCAGCACATTGACGACCTCACGCTGCCTCAGACGGTGCAGAATCTGTGCGTCCCACGTGCTCGATCGAGTGCTTGTTGCGCGCGCGGTTTGTTTGCTTTGTAGCTGCTAGGAACGCACATGTGTCTCTGACGTCTGTTGTGTGTGTGCGTACGGCTCTGCGGTTTGCAGGACAATCGTTGGCGGGACGACGAGCTCGCAGATCACGATCCCGCTCTCGTTTTCACCACAAGCTTTTCGCACGGGCACATCGCTGCAGCACCTGTGCGTGTATATGATGGACGGCTGGACGTGGCATTGCAAAGCACTGGCTGACGATGATGTGTCTGTCTTCTACTGTTGTATTTGTGTATTTCTTCTAGTGCCATTTCAGACGTTAGTATCGGCGAGATGCTGGTCAACGTCTTTCCCGAGACTCTCGAGTCGCTGTGAGTTCCTGTTGAATTCGTTCTGCTCGCGCTTGTGGACACGAACTGATTTGTGTGATTCTCGTCCATGCACAGTACGATCCAACGAGCAAAACTTACTGCGTTTGACCCTCGTGGGCCACACGCATTGACGTCGGTGTCCACTTTGTCAGTATGCTGTGCCTTTATTGACCTCTCTTGCCCATGACGGGACACTCACGCTGCTGAAATGCTTGTTTTGTACAGGGACCTTCGCAACAACGAGCTATCTGACATTCCTCCAATTATTTATGAAATGCGTCGCTTGTCGGCGTTGTATCTGCAAGGCAATGCCATCTCGAACGCCCACGTCACGCTGCCGCAGCTCCAGTATTTGCAGAAATTGCCAGTGTTTGAAGCGTACCTGACCGTCGACGAGAGCTGTTCTGTGGGCTACGAAGCTGTATCGTGGGCCAACAAAAGCGTATGCTACACAACCGAAAGTGTCGGCCTTGGCAGCATTAACGGCTCTGATTCTGATGAAGAGAGCACTACTTCTACAGCAAGAGGTGACGTCAACAGCTCTGCGATCGTCTTTGTGGTTCTGGGCCTTGTGCTCTTCGGTGTCCTTGCCGTGATTGGCGGTATTGTGTTCCTGCGGAGGTGGAAGCAAAAGGCGGCGAAAGAGCAACACGATTCACTCGTGGCGGGTGATGGCAAAACCAAAGTCAACTTTGAACGTTTTCGTGTGCGAATGGGCGTGTCCAACAGCACGCTTCCGACTGCAGACCTCAAGACATCGTTGAGCGAGTACAATGCTGGCATCGGACATCGTAAGTCAGCATTCAAGGAGCTTTCAGCTGCTGACGTAGTGATACTGAACCAGCTGTCGATTACTGGCCCCGTGGTAGTGTCCCTGGCAGAGCATCGTACAAAGCTGGTGCTTGTGACAAAACTTCAGGCTAGTGGTGAAGACGTGGAAGCAGCGCTAGAAATGATTCCTATGCTTTCGCAGATGCGTCACCCTCAGCTTCTATCCATCACTGGACTTGTCTGGGACGAACGACTCGCAATGACGGCAGTGTGTGAGTACATGACGCTGGGCACGCTCGAAGCGTACCTCCGGAATTCTGGCTCGAGACTCAACTGGAAGAACTTCAAAATGAAAGCAGCAGCTGAAATCGCGCGTGGGCTCATGTACATCCACAATCAGCACAAGGTCACGTACGACGGACTCAGTGGTAGAAGCGTGCTTGTGGACCCCAAAAAAGGCTGCAAGCTGAACCCCGTGCAGGCGGCACTCCCTACGGGCGGATTGTCTCCGTACAGTTGCCAGTCGTACTACCGTCGATCTGACTCCACTACCAAGGCGTTTTTCGCTCCAGAGATTCTGGCTGGCGAGCCGTCTCGGTCGTCGTCCGACATGTACGCTTTTGGTGTACTGCTCGCCCACCTGGACACGGGTCAGACGGCGGACGAGATGATACGAAGCTCGTGGAGATTGCGTACCCACATTGACGACGTGGACATGGAAAACAGCACACTCCTTTCCGCTGATGGCACCGTTACAACAACCGATGCTGCCGGTATGGACCCCGAGCATTATCGAAGGCGTACCACTCACCTCGAGAGTTTGCCGAGCACACACAGCTTTCGTACACTTCAGAGCTCCCGCAGCATTGCGCTGGAGGAAAACCGACGACGGACGACGCCGCTGCTGGGCGCCCATAGCAACGACGACACGAGTTTCATGAGTATGTTTACATTCACGGCCGAATGTCCCGCAACGGTTCGCGAGCTGGCAGCCGCGTGCCTCCAATACGATCCATCCCTGCGCCCGAGTGCGTCTTACATTGCAGCTATGCTGCACATGTAAGACGCAGCGAGACGCAAATGTTATTAGAAACCTGAGCTGTAGTATACATAGTACCGTAGAATGAGTGTGAGTGGTCGTGCAGTGTAGTGGACAATAACCTGTTGACAAGTCTAACAGCATTTGCCAAGTTCTGCTCGCGCCGATGTCGCAATCAATCGGCTGTTTGGCCTGTACAATCCTCCTGTCTTTGTGCTGATTGCAAGCTTATAGGGTACAGCTAGTGAATAGGCAGGCAAGTAGGGTCTTGCACCTGCAGCACCTCAGCGTCAGTATCAGCAGCAGCAGCAGCAGCAATATCAGCTTGTGAAGTAGCGACTCTTACCAGAAGTAGTCCAATGGAATGAAAGCTGCTGGGTGCGCTATGGTATGGTAGAAAGTGACATTCTCTCTCGGAGGACGTAAGACACAGTGGATATGCTGTGGAATAAGTCGCACTGCTATAAGACTTGCTGGTCGTCTATTGACGAACAAAACGAAGCAGCACTTGTAGAGCAACATCGACAAGCATAATGATTGCTTGCCGTAGTCCGTAGTATGTAAACAACAAAAAGGCAAGAAGTTGACGATCGTTCTCCTTGCTCGGCGGCAAAGCAATCTGCCTGACTTTCTCCTCCTCCTCCTCAATCAAGACCATGTCGGCGGTCGCGCTTTGTTGCTGTAGTAGCATGGGCAAGACCAGCCGTCATCTCCCAAACGGGTACTTGACTTTATAAAAAACTTTGCTTAGCTGTCTGAAATGTATTGCGTCTATCTTAGGGCGAGCCAAAGAGCTTACTTTTCTATCTTATTCACGTGTATAGATAGCAGTCGATGCCCGGACTGCCCGATAAACTTCGTCGGACCTGCAGCTGTAAATGAGGAATGCGAGCTTGAGGATCACTATAAGTAGCAGTGTATTTTGAGCGCTAGCTTGACCCATTGTATCTGAGCAAATGGAAGCAATACGTGAGACTGCGAGGTGACCAGATGACGCAAAGGACAATGCCTTGCGCTTGACTGGTGCCCCAGCCGTTCGTACAGCGGTCAAACGAAATCACTTGTAAGTGTTTTACAGCCGTCTGATCACAACGCAGCACAAGGATGACACTCGTCAAACCAGTACAATGGAGTATGCGAAACACCCGTCTAGCCGCTCTATCAGCCACACGGCTTAGTCCTTGTTCTCCAGCAAGTAAAGCAGCAACGACGCACTCGAGAGCTTGACGGCACAGTTCACGCGGTCAAGATCGTGACCGCCCTCCACCAGCCCCCAGTTGTTGATCTGAAACTCCTCCTCCAAACGGCAAACGTCAATCGCCTCTTTTGCCGTGATGTGGCGAGTAAATACCGCCAACGCAGTGATCAAAGACTGGCACACGGACAATGTCGTGAGCTACTGTACGAACCACTGTATCAAAGCCACCACCTCATCAGCCTTCAGACTCACCTTGCACTCTTTCGTCAGCGTCCGCGTGGCCGCAAGCTCAAAATCATTCAGCTACATCAACATCAAAGCCCGCGTCAACGATCGGTCTACCGACTCGAACACCACAAAAGAACAGCTGACTCCACCACACACTACCTTTTCCAAGAACACACGGACGTTCGCGACCAACTGCTGGTCATGACCGAGAGGATCAATGCTTCCGTAGCTCACGTCCACATCGCCTCCAAACGTGTCGCTGAACCACTTGCGAAGGGGCTTCCACTTCTTTTGCTGCAGCGCCACAAGCTTCTCTTGCTGGTCCGCTGTAACCTCGTAGCACACTGTGTCCGTGTGCAAGTAGTGCAGCATCTCGCCCACTGTCTCTTCACGACTGGACGTCAGCAAGAGATCCAGCGCCGTGGACGCCAGCGTCATGATGGGCATCGTCGCTGGACGGATGTCGCGCTTCTGCGCGTCCCACTCGTGTGCTACTGCGTATGCCATTGCACGCGTGGGAAGCTGCAGGGGCTGTTGCCTCGGCGTCTTGACGGTCTTTCCATCCAGTGTCACAGCGTAGCGCTTGCCAAGCGCAGCGCCTTCTTCTTCTTCTTCTTCCTCCTGCACGTCGACGTCCTGGACACCCACGTCCTTGTAGAAGCGCAGAGCACCGGTGATCTTGGGACCCGCGATGCCGCCGGTACCTGCTCTGGCCGAGAAGAAGCGCCGCGACGCTCCTGCGAGCGCTCTCACCGGCGACCAAGAGCTGCTCGACATGCTCGCTCCTTGCGTCGTGATGGACCTGCGAAACAAAATGGGATGCGCTTGCACAGGTTAAGGGCAGGTGGCGTGGCAGGAGTCGACAATAATAGTAGTGATACAGCAATAACAGTAACAGGAGTAGTTGTAGTATTAGGGGTGGTTCAACAATAATAGTACTAGCAGTTGTAGCACTGCAATAATGGCACCGGCGGTGGTAATATAGCCGTATTAGTCGAAGCAAACGGAGTACAGCGTTGCCACTACTACTACTACTACTACTACTACTACTACTACTGCCACTGCTACAATGTCTTGCGCAATTATAGTAGTTACAGAGCAATTGCAGCAAAAGTAGTACTAGGGGTCGCAGCAGTAGTACTTCTGGTAGCCATCATCGTAGTACTTACTGCCCGTGGTATTACTACCCAGTCAACAAGCCCAGCAGCAGCAGCACGAGACATGTCGTCGAACCCGCAGCACGTAGTGGACACGGAGGACGCGGCCGAGTTGAATCTCGGCGTGGATTTCCGCAACGAGACGTGTCTGTCCAATGCTGAGGTGGCTGTGATCCTGGAGAAGCAAAAGTCCGACTACGAGACGCAAGAGAAGCAGCTCACCAAGTGCGTACCCCCACCCTCTTGTCCATGCCGTCGTCACTGTCGTCATTGATTGTTGTGCATTCGTTTGACTGCATTGTTGCTACGGCACTGCACTTGTGTGATCGCAACTCCATTTTTCTCTGTACCATTGCAGCGTCTTCCAGAAGACGTACTCGTACGTCCAGCGCTTTAGCGGCACAAAGGACCCCGTAACCAATCAGGCTTCCGTTACGGAACTCCGCGAGTACGTCGTCACTCGGCTGCTGCACTTTGTTCACATACTGTTTGCTCTTTTATTCATCCGGAGCCGAATGCTAAACGGATGGTCCACATTCGTCTATGGTGCGACAGAGCGTTGATGTCGCTCGCGTTCCAGCGCGAAGAGGACGGCGAGACGGTGGAATATCGACTGGAGGAGTTTGAGATCGCGTGTTTGTCGAACCTCAATCCGGAAGAAGTCGAAGAAGCTGTGGCGCTGATCCCGAGTCTGCACAAACGGTTTGCAGAAGATGAAATCGAAGAGATCTTGGGCATTGTGTCTCGCACGGCCGCGCGCATGTTTGGCTGAGCTCGAGCGCTCGGCGGGTGGGGCTCTTGTTCTGTACCCACCTTGGAGGGGTACGTTTGTTTGCCAGTAGAGATGGGTAACGTTTACACAATCTCAAGTCCATCCACCACTCGGAGCCATTCAAACGTCGAGCGAAGTGCTGCTGCGTCCACAACTAACGAACTGACTGACTGACTGACTGACTGACTGACTCATTGCCTGCTACATGAACGCCGGCACCGATGACGGCGCGTATGTTCCACGACGAAAGCGACGACGGGCAGACTTATCGTCGTCGTCTGCAACGGTATCGCAAGACAGCCACTCGATCGGTCGCTCGACGCACGAAGCTTCGGCACAGCAGGAAGCATCGTGGGTGCGTCAAGAACGAGGGATCGTAGTCGAAGGCGAGCACCCGATCCCGTCTCCAATACGCAGTTTCGATGAGCTTGAGCTGTCCCGAGACGCCATGTCAGCATTGCAGTCGCGTGGGGTGACGGCGCCATCAGCTGTGCAGGCTCAGGCTCTTCCCTGCATGTTGCAAGGTCGCGATGTGGTCGCGCTGGCCCCTACTGGCAGTGGAAAAACGCTATGCTACATCCTCCCGATGTTCAAATTGCTGCAACGACTGCATCAGCACGCGGGGCCTGCACTGTGGAAAGACCCCTCGATGGCATCGACGCCAACAGCACCTCGTGCGCTGGTCGTTGTGCCAACACGAGAGCTTGTCGACCAGGTCGTGCAAGATCTCACGGCCTTCTTCCCTGGCCGAACGCCTTCACCGGTCGTGGGTGTTTATGGCGGCATTGCAGTGACGGAGCAGCTCTCTCAGCTGCAACAACGTGCGAGTGATCCAATGGTACTGGTGGCAACACCCGGGAGATTACTGCACCTTGCGCTGCGTCATGGCGCAACGCTGTCACTTGGACAGGTTTCTCTACTTGCAGTCGATGAAGTGGATCGCGTGCTGGAAGCTCCTGAGATGGAGATGCAGCTGCGTGAGATCCTGCAGCTCGCAAACAATGCTGGACGGCAGACACTGCTATGTTCAGCAACGTTGCCTGTCTTTTTGCCACGACTGGCACGGTCGGCAGTGCTTCGGCCCGTCACGATTCATGTCGACGTGGCGAATATGCCGAGCCAGTATCCATCGACATGGAGCACTGGCACGAAGGATCCTTCGACTGTCAGGCTAGCGCTCTCCGAATCGTCGGACGTGGCTCACGATGTGCAGTTCATGCACCCTGCGAAGAAATCGACCCGACTACTTGGTGTGCTGCGTGCCACGAAGCAACCGCCAGTGTTAGTGTTTTGCAACACGCGTTCAAGCGTCGAGCGTGTAGCTCGCCTCTTGCAGGATGAGCAATTTCACGTCGCACCGCTCCACGGCGGGCAGTCCCAAGGCTATCGCATCCAAGCGTTGCGCGCTTTTCGAGCAGGCTACGTCGACGTCTTGGTGGCAACGGACATGGTCTCTCGAGGACTTGACTTTCCCGGCGTCGAAACTGCAGTGCTGTTCGACATCCCGAACACGATCGAAGACTACATGCACCGCTGTGGTCGTGTAGGCAGGCGGCAAACAGGGGACGATACTGGAGGTTCTGGTGCCGCGGGAAAAGTGACGTCGTTTTTGACGCGCGAGTGCGCCATTGCTGCGGAGCTGAAGCAGGTGCTGCTGGCAGCTAGACAGCCTGTGCCGCGCGAGCTGAACACTCCGAGACTCTTTCACCGAGTCGATACGCTCGTCGACTAGGACCTGCATGACAAAGATTCACATCAAGCGCAGCCACGTCCAGAAGATACCTCAACTGCTGGAGCTTGAGCTAAGGTGTCGATTGTTGCCGTGTCATGAACTAGAAGACGTGACAAAACATCCGAACGAAGAGCTTGAGCTTACACCGGGATACCTATCCGACGCTGGCGCGATGTCGTCATCTACAAGCAGAAACGACGAAAGCCTGTATCGAGCAGGGAAAATTAGCGTGGCCAACCCATTGACCACCACGTTGTGACCCGACCGCTGTATCATTCGATGAGGGTAGCGTGCTGGCAAGGGGCAAGCTTACGTGAAGCACGGTCGCGCCAGTGGAAGGCATGGTGGTCCACCTACCGTGTCCGTTGGAACTTTTGCATGGGGAAAGAGGAAGTGCTGAGCCTGGTAGTCTGGAAACCTCGGAACAGACTTGTTCACTGCAACTATACACATACATCTCAGACCGCACATGCACCACGCAGTTGCAACTTATAGCTCGTATTCGCGAAAGCTCTTGACAAGCTTCATGACCTGGTCGCCAGCAAAACGACCGAGGGCACCGCGGGCTGTAGCCAGTTCCGAGAATCGCGCCACTTCATCCGTCAATGGACTGCGTGGACCAATGTCGTGGCTGGTCTGCTGCTGCTTCGTCTCACCAGCTTTTTTATAGTGCTGCAGCTTCTCGTACGCGAACCCGGCACGTGCGATAGCGAGCGGCACGGGCTCAAACGTATGGTCTCCGTACTTCACAGGTGTTGTGTGGTCACCTGTGACGACGATAGTCACATCGTTGTCCGCATCTTCACACGTCTCGTGGATGCCTTCTAGGAGCATAGCGATCATTTCATCTGCACGCTCGATGAAGTGCACTTTCTTCTCCACATCACGGTCGTGGCCAGCATCGTCGACCGCCTTGACGTGGACAAAGCCAAAGTCGTACTCGTTACTTCGTAGCAGTTTCAGTGCCGTCTCTGCCTTGGAGCGCAAGTTGGTGTGATAATCTCCCGTTGCACCAGGAGCAATAGCTATCTCAAATTCCAACGACATGCCGAGGCCAGCAATGATACACGTCGGGGCGATCATAAAAGGAGTGAGTCCGTGCTTATCAGCGAACGATGGAACGTCGATCCGTTCGCCCGGACCGCGTAGCAACACCACATTCGCCGGTGGCTTATTTTGAGCTTCGCGTGCCTTGTTGATCGGATGCTCCGACAGTAGCTTGTGAATAGCATCAGAGACCGCGTTCAGCACCTTGCTAGAATACGCGGCTTCCGGGGTGTCGTTGGTCGGTTCAGACGTTACAAGGGGAAGGCTGTCCAGCAGAAAAACGTCAGACCATGCACAGCAGCAGCAATCCAAACTCAGCGAATGGCAGTTACACACAGTACGCACTTGTCTTTCAGCGGGTCCGTGCCAGTGATTTTGTCACAAAGTCCCGGGCCTTGGAAAACAACGCCGCAGCGGTGTTCTGTAGCATGTTTCGTTGTCACGACGAGATCAGGAAACTCCGGAAGAGTCAAACCATCGAGAAAGCTGCAAAGGTCCGTCCCCCACGACGAAAAGTCGCGGTCGACGCGGCGCCGCTCGACGACCAATTGGCCATTGTCGTTCTTCTTTACAGTGGCAAAATTGCACTTGAACGCAACGTCGCCTCTCTTCATTGGTATTCCTGCTCCCATGGCCTCAAACGACCCACGGCCGCGATAGTGACTGCAATAGTGAGTGGCGTACACGAACAACACACCGCCCCGTGTGAGGCACAAGATGGCGATTAGTTGACAGCCACAGGTCACGTACATGATAGGATTGTAGCCCAGAATCGACATGTGCGCCGTGTCGCTACCACAGGCATAGCCAGGTTCTACCGGATCCATGAGACCCGTGAGGCCGCCACCTGAGTCGGTCATCGACAAAATGGATACATCAATGCAAAGAACAGGGAGTATCGACAGCAAAGAGCGGAGGGGGTCTTAGCAAGAGCACGAACGTACGGGCAATGGCATCCATCGCTGGCGTTTGTGCCGCCTCGAGTGGTGTATTCTGGTCGAGTTCCAGGAGCGACACGTCGGCCAGCCCGTCGATGAGCACAAACACCACCGACTGCTTCTTCATGAGGATCTAAACAGCGACGACGACGACAGTGCTTCGGGTAATGATGATACCGGTGACGATATCGGTTCGGAAACAGCCTGTACTGTCATCGGTCATAGTCCGCAGGATGGTATGCGCGTACTTAGTAGAATTACGCCCATCTTTTTCGCGCGGCACTTGACATGAGCTCGAGGCAAACAGCGTACGGTGATGCCGCCACATGTTATGCTGAGGCAGGAAGAACAGGTAGACAGCCAAGTGCTTGCTCGATAACCACACGCGGCACAGCGTTACAATATGTAGCGCTTCTGACGCTGCAGAGAGAGAGAGAGAGAGAGAGAGAGAGCGTTGATGACGCTTAGCCGACGGTGTGGCGATCATTTACCTCTTGGAGTCGCAGCTTCTCTTGTTAACCGCTTCCTCTTCGTTCCGCTTGGACAAGACGTTGCAGTACCCACCCACCAGTCTTCTTCTTTGTTTTATATTTGCCACTGTATCTCTGTGCTTGAGTTTTCCCGACCTTCACAATCCAGCTCTTCCTTGCCATCAACTGACTTGCACTGCATTTGCTTGGGCAGGAAAACACGCACCTGAGATCAGCTGCACACGAGCGGAAAGCAAAAAGAAGTCCATCCATATCCACGCGAGACCTTGCGTCCGTGCAGTATCAGGGTGGCGTTCGTCGGTTGATTCCTACGCAATGTTCCGTTCGAGACAACAGCTGAAAGCCATCCTCGTCAACGAGAAGCAAAGCCTTTGCGCGACCTGCACCTAGTCCCGGCCGTTAAAGCGGCGAGGAGAGCCCGGTGCTGCAAGGTGGTAACCTTCATCTCGTCGAGCAGACGCCGAGCGAGAATAGCCGCTGAAACGCTGAGGCGGTGAGGCCGGTGACGGCGATCGAGCAGCTGGTGACACAGAGCCGCGCGCCGGCGAGAGCGCACGAGGAGACATCGATCGGCGAGGCGATGGAGAACAAGATCGTGCCACCGGAGAACGACCACGGGAGCCCGAACGAGAGCGGGCCCGGCCCTTCATAGGGGAGCGTGAGCGAGACGAGCGTCGCACGGAGACACGACGGTCGCGAGAGCGAGACCGGCCCCGGGGGGCCCGGCGGCGCAACGACCTAGAGCGGGACCGGCGGCCTCCTCCACGTCTCTCCTTCCTATGCTCATACAAGCATAGTAAGGGCGTGAGCAGCACGTCAGATAAGGAGAGCGACAGCATCGAACATACTGTCAGCAGTTGGCGCTGGAAGAGCCCCTACCTTTCGCGTTCGCGCATCTGATCGGTCGATTTGCGGCGTTCCTGGGCGAACACGACGCGAATATCACGGCCGTCAATGCGCATTCCATCCAAATTGCGACGCGCGTCGTCGGCTTCATGTTCGCTGTGGAACTCGACAAACGCAAAGCCTTTGGGCTCCCTATATCCAGCAGCACGTCCGTTACCACTCCACGTCCACCTGCTGGCCCTAGTAGTTCTATGGCGCTACGAAAAGCGGCACTCCAAGAGCGACAAGACGTACTTTGTGTGGAAGTCCCTGGGAATGTACACGTCCCGCACTTGTCCGTACTGCTCAAACTCTTTGCGGATGTCCTCCGATCTGCAGAGTCATTCGAGCAAATGGCGTTAAGGAACGCACGACGCACCGGCAACACACACACTCACACACGTGGAAAAGCACATCAATAGAGAGAGAGAACAGGCTAACGACGTACCGCAGACGGTGGCTGACGTTGCGCACCAGCAGCGAAATCCCTCCGCGTTCGCTCATTCTTGACGTCGATCTGTAGTGGAGGGCGTTTCGACTTGAGCCGTTCGTTGTTCGGGTATTTTCGAGTGTGACGTCGCTAAGGTGGGAAACCAGCCATTGATTTGGATAGAAAAAAGCGATCACTTTTTGGGTATAGAAACAAGAGAAATCGCACCGAATGGGTCAGATTTGAATAGAACTGGACATGATGGCTCCGACCTTGTTGGGAACTCACAGAAATAGTCGATTTTTAGGTTAAGTCGTCGACATGCTTCAAATTGCCAGCTACATAGTTCATCAAACTTGATATTGCGTGTTATTTCTTCTCTGCTATGTGACTGCCTTGCATCGAATTCCGTATCATCCACCCAACACTTCCACAACGATGGCAGACTCCCAGTCCACGCGCATCTTCTGTTGTAAGCAATACCAATGCATACACAACGCATACTTTCTTTGACTTGACGTTGAGCGCCGATCACAACTGTGCACGCGAACAGCATTTTAGATACAAAACACGGAACCAAGCGGCGCGTTTTTACGACTGCTGCGCGATGACGGCTACCGAGCCTAGGTCCGCATCGTTTTCCTGGAAATGACGGAGTCAATTACCGTGCACAGCGTTGCGACGACCACGTCTGCCAAGTATCGTCGCAAGTACCGCGAGTCAGTCGGCGAGGTCGCATATCCCGTGTTGGAGTGCTGCACGAAGGGTTCCTTTTCATCAAGCCCGCCAAGTCTGAGGACAGCGTTTCTACAGGAACAAATGCACATCAACGGTAGTCACCCAACTAGTGAATGAGGTGAATTCGAACGTGGTTACGAACGCCTATAGAAAGCAGTACACTTACGATCGCATGTAAATCAGCTTGTTGAAGTCGATCTGATTGCAACAGCGAAGATATAAGCGAATAAGGTGAACGTAGAGAAGGAGCGCGGGTATCGCAAGGTGTATTTGCGATTCGTGCTTTTGAATGATCGCGTTGTGGTGGAGAAATTTACGTGTAATATATTCCGATGCAACATGTGTGACGTGCTTTTTACCAATTCAACGCAATTTCGCGCATTTTAGGTTAAATCTCGGCCCATTTGGCAAATTCCATTTGTCGTACCTAATTTCCATTCACATCCAACCTATTCGGTGTAGCTTCTCATCACACACACACCACTGCATGCAATGTAGTCGACTCTTATTGCACCCACTTCAACCAACGTTCCGGCGAGAAGACATATATTAGTTCGAGTAGGCAGCAGGTCGCCCAAATTACACTTTCGATAGCACGACCCACCACAGAGTGAAGCAAATGCAGCCGGCAATCACCAGCGCGAGAATGGTATTATTGCGCATCTTCTTGCGTCGGATCTGCTCCACGAGCGTATTGATGCCAGCGAACGAACTGCCCAGTGTTGCCACTTTGCCGTGCGACGACGTGAATTGGCGGCGTTGGTTCGCAAGTGCGTTCCTGGTTGCCATTGCCTGTTCAATGATGCTGCCAGTCATGGAGCGCGACGAGTCGACGGCACGGCGCTCATTCAGCAGCGAGTCCATTTCCATGTCGTCTGAATGACCGTTGTGGGATCTGTATTGCCGCATCCACACATGGCACCTGTGTGTTAGTCCTGGGTGATGGTAGCATCTCATTGCATGTACTAGAAGATCAAACACGAGTCCATGCACTACGAACCGATTGCCAAACAGTTTCTGCGCATCACGCTTTTCCTGTAAGGTGCTCTAAGAAAAAGAATGCAGAGCAAGAAGACAGTAAGAGAAACAGGGGATCTTCACGTCACCCACGTGTGTACATCGCTGCTGCAACTTACCATAGATCGACGGAACTCCGTGTTGAAGTCAAAATAGAGCTCACGGTAGCGCTGTAGCACCGCATCTTGCACTTTCAGTGATGTTGCGTTCACGACTGTATTCATCTCGTCGATTGTGTGCGATAGCTGCAGTCACACCCACCAGCAATAAGGAAACGCGAAAGTGTCGTAAGCACCTGACTCGAGTTCCCACGGCCTCATGCTCTTTCCAGGCCATATGAATCATCACTACAATAACCCCACCTCTGCTAGTGCGTTTTCAATCGCAGCCGCCAGCTCTCTCTCGTCTGCAGTCTCTTCGATAGGGTTTTCTACACACAGCCACAAACTCAGCCTCGTCGAGCGCTTTCTTCGTCCAATTTCCACAAGTCGCTCCTGCCCCCACCTTCATCGTGGACCAACGCTGCGCTGCGTGTCTGCGCTCTACTGGCTGTCGTATACGCCGCAATTTTGTCTTCCAGCGTGCGCTCCGCTGCCCGCGCGCTGCTCCGCAGCTCCTCCCACGACCGCGTTGTTGTTTGCATCATACCAATTGTCTTTTTGATCCTCTTTTTTTCACGTCCCTAAGTACTCGTTTAGCCTTCGCGTCTCGATTAAATATACATGAACCAAGGTCAACCGCGAAGACCATCACTCTGGTTTCCCCCGCACGCATTTGATCCATCGGTGCGATGAAGCGCGCGACACGGCGGCTAGCGGCCGCAGTGGAGGCCGTACGCGCCGGCAGTGGCACTGCCGCCGAGCAGCAGGAGCACCAGAACGAGCTGGTGCAATCGCTGATTGCTCTGCAGCGTCTGTGGAAGCCCGCGCTGCTGACGGACACTCAACCGACCAAGAAGCGAACGAGCAAGAGCAACGCAGCGCTCTTTGAGCTCCTGCTGACGACGCTGATCGTGTACAGTGGCAGTCACGTGAGCGGATCGGGCGCTGGAGCTACAGGGGGTGGAGCGGGGACGATGGGCGTCTCGTTGCTGTCCTCGAGCGCGCACACGTCCGAGTGCGTGCACCGTCTGCTGTGTGACTCCCTCGTGCGTTCTTTTGACTTTTCTATGGTCCAGAGCATCAACGAGACGCTCAAAGCCAAGAGCATCTCGCTCTACGTAAAGGTGTCGCTGATTATGGTCGTGTGTCGACTGCCGTTGCACGACTCGCTGCCGTTTCTGCCGGATGCAGTCACGCTCGCGAATCGGCACTTTCGCGCTGTGGATTACTACATGAAACAGTGTCTCTTGGAGAGCATAGCGCATGCGCTGGCAGGCGCATCGACGAGGCTCGTGGCGTTCCACGCTGAGGCGCTGAAGATTGTGAACAAGAGCTATCAAAACAAAGCGCCGGAAGTGCGAATCGCCGCTGCAAAGCTGCTGCAGGTAATAGCGGAACGAACGTCGGTATTGATCACGTCGGTTGCGAGTGGGGGTGCTGGAGGAGGTCTCGGGGGCGGAAGTGGCAGTGGAAACGGCGTTGCTGGGAATAGCAGTGGGTCTGCAGCTGGAACAAGTAGTGGAAGCAGCAGTGTCGGCAGCAGCGCACTTGGTGTGTCGCTGGATGCGATCATGCAAATCGCAGCCAAAGGAATGGAAGATGGTTCGCCTGAAGCGAGGAGAGCAAATGCGGTCGTTGTTGGCGTTGTTCTTGCCAAGTACGCATCGTCTTCGTCAAGAGAAACGGAATCACAGACAAGTGGGAGTGACGCACACGGAGCGAATACGGTTTCTTCGAGAAGCAATGACGAGGATACTGGTGTAAAGGGTTCAGCTGAGCAAGAGACCCCTTCATCGAGCGGAAGCGGGGCTGGAAAAGCGAAGACGGGGTTTAAGCTGCACGTTCCTGGGATGACAACAATCAACTTGCCGTCGTCACTCTCTCGTCGAAAAGCAGCTACAGTCAATTTTTCGACCATAGCGAATGTGGTTCTGTACTTCAAGGACATGGTCACGAGCAAGTTCCTATCGAGCAATCCGACCCAGAGTCATGGAGGTATCTTGGCCGCGTTCTCCATTGCTTTATGCAGTATGTTTGAGCGTCTTCCGCCTGAGTCAATCGCTGAAGCACAGCTCCGTGAGGTTATGGATGCCACGCTTGCAATCCTTGATTATCCGTTTGCTCTCGGAGATTTGACTCGAGCACGTAACGCTGTGGGCTTTGTGTTGCGCTATGGACTCAACGGATGTTTGACGGAGCGTCAGCAAGAGGTGCTGTTGGGCGCGTACTTACGAAAACTGAAAGACGAAGCTCAGGCTTTGGAGCCAAACCACCACAAGACGTTGTCCACCTTGGTAGAGATGAGTCATCTATTCCACTCGATGGGCGAGGCTTCTGTAACTCATGCACTAGATGCCAGCGCCGTACTTCAAGGTCTTGTTTGCCACGAGAAGCAAAGCGTTCGTTTTCAAGCTGCTGTCGCGCTGGCCTCACTCGTCACTGCAATTCCTTACCGACTCAAAAGCGTGTTGACGAGTTGCCTGCACGGTCTTCGTGTCACTGCTGGTTACTTAATGCGCGGGGGGTCAGATATCGAATATGTGAAAAACTCATCGTCAGCAGAGAAATCAGAAGATGGTCCAGAGGAAGGAAGCGACATGCAAGGCAAGGCTCATTTGTATGCGATTCAGGGTAGATCTGTTGCTATTGCCCACATTCTTCGTGCCATCAAGATTGAATCCAGTGATGGATTATCGCAAACGACTATGGATGATATCTATTCCATCTCTGAAGAACTCGTTGAGAGCCAGTTTCTCAATGAATGCGTGGACAGCATTTGGCTTACCTGCACGCGCGCCGGTTGGACGCTGCTGGGAAGTCTCGTGTCCTTGAATAGTGAGGAATGGCTCAAGAACAATCAGGAAAAGCTTTTGAATCTCTGGCTCAAGTCGAGCGTGTTACACAGTCGCGAGTCGTCCCTCGAGCTTTTGCGCATCGAGGCTGCCGTGATCGCCTTGAAAAGCTTTCTGTTCAATTACCAAGATCCTGCAGCGGACAACAATGACGATATCTACCTCCTTTCGAATCACGTTCTGCATGTGTATTTGACGGCAACGCAAGACACACTGAGCAAACCTCTGAAGCGTCGCGGCCAAATCGCTCGGTATCGTCTCATAGGGTGGATCCTTGATTGTTTTTCGATGCTCCCACCTGTTTACAGTGATTCGTATATCGTACTTTTGGATTTGATTGCCGACTTTGCTACAGCTCAGGCATTGACGAGTCTTCGGAATTCCTCGCTGGTACCAGCAAAGTCTACGTATCTGCAAAGCGTTCTGTCTTTGGAGAACAATGCACTTGACATGGTGACCCTCTCTCGGTTGGAACGAGGAGATCATCCATCACCGCTGTACTCGAGGGAACTGAATCACATCCTTGGATTGCAGCAACACGAAAATGCTCTGACAGATACTGAACTGGAGGTGCAATACCTGGACACGTTTTGGAGGCTAAGTGCTGAAAAAGCGGCTACAAATGATGGTGAAACGAAAGTACGCTGCAGCCCGTTTACTTACGTTCGACTTGTCGATACGAGTGTAATTTTGTTTGGCCGACTTTTCCATTTCATTCCAGAAGATCTACAACTGCGGTGTCTGCAACACTACGCAGGAGCCCTGGCCGATGTTCGTGCCGATTGCGATGTCAACGTTTGTTCGCTCTTGTTTGCTGTGATTACAGAAGCGAAACGTCTCAGGAAATCTGATGCCTCACCAAACTCGTCCACACTCGTTGCAACGACATGTTGGCCTCTACAACTGCAGACTATGTTGTGCGAGATGATTGCAAGTGTCCATGCGGATGTCCGCCGTGGTGCAGGCGAGGCATTGGGAGTACTGGCATCGCTTCTCGGAGAAGACGATTGCAAGGGATTGATTGTTGAGCTGGAGAAACGCTTGGTAGTCGATAAGCTTCCGCAGGGGGTCGGTAGCACCGGTTTTGGCTCTAGCGCTGATTTGGACGTGTCCATTTTGTCAGCAGGGGCTGCCTTTTCGCTAGCCTGCATCAAACGTGCTTGTGGCTTCCGTGTATCGATCGAGACAGGTCTCATTTTTCGCTTTGCTACTGACTGTTCTCAGCCTTTGCGCACGTGGATCTTACATTCTTGGGGCATTATTTTGGAATCCGTTTACTCTACTGGAGGCGATTACGAGCAATTCGTAAGCTCGACGATCTCCTTGATGGAAGCTCAAGTTCAGGCAGGATTTGTCTATTCGAAAGTCAACAAACACGCTTTGAGATGGCAGATCAGCACAAAAGTAGCCCTGGGTCGGATCATCAATAACGTTGTGGCAATGCTTGGTCCGGAACTTGACGGCTCAAGTGATCGTTTGGATGAGTTTTATTCTTTCTGGATGCTTCTTCGCCAAGATGGTGACGCACGGGTGGAGCTGGAATTCTTGCGGTTTCTACAGCAAGTGGTCGTGTTTTCGCCATCCCGCTTTCAATGTGGAGATTTGCGATACATATTACGTCTCACATCTGATACTGCTCTACTACATCTTGCAGCTCGATCATCAGTGGGGGCGCCACAAAAGTCGAGACGCTCGGTGTCGTCGCCGCCGTCAGGTCTTACCCCTTCTCCAACGTTTGGTGCTTCTGTGGAGCCGGCTGAGCAAAATGGCCTCGTGAATGTTGAAGTGTATACAAATGGATGGAGTCGGAGTATACTGCAAAACGTCGGTTTGTCGTGCATCCGCACTTTGGTGGAAAGAGACCCGACGCTAATTCGCCGCCACAACCTTTTCTGCCTGCTCTTTTCAGCTCTTCACGTCGAGTACAACGAACTCATGTGGGGCAACCTGCCCGGGCTACACGGCATGTGGGACGTTCTTTCTTTTGCTTTCGCGGATTCCATGACCATGCAACGGAACAGCATCAGTGTGCTGCAGAGGACGATACTGGCGTTACTTGACGTTGAAGGCAGAAACCACGAAGGCGCCAGACCGTGTCTGTGGGCCCTCTTGTGTCGTAGTATCGCCATAGGCGAATCAGGCGGTATCTTTGCTTTTGCAAATGCAAAACAGCGCACGATGAGCCCGAAGGAAACGAACCCCATGCCAGGGGATCTGACTCGGCCCGTGACGCAAGTTTCCGGTAATGATGCGAGTTCTCTCGTGTCTGCGGCTGTTGCAGCTCAAGTGGACACATGGCGATTTACCAAGGCGAGCGTAGGCGACTTGATTGCTTTGATGCCACCGCTTTCACGTCGAGTACGTCATTTCGCGGTGGAGTGTGTGCTACGTGTGTTCGAGCTGATGACAGCCAGTCCCCCTTTGATGGCTGGTATGTGTCACAATAAGGAACTGCATTTCGACTCTGTTGCAACACGCCGCTACTTCTTGGAAGTGGTATCAAGTAGAGCGTCGCTTCCAGTTCCCGCTGAGTCCAACGTCAGAGACTTTTTGTGTATGTATTTGGACGAGTTTATTACCCTCGCGTGCCAAGTCACTACGACTTCAGCGGAAGGAGGCGAGCTGCTAATGTTCCAATGTGTGGGACTTCGACTATTAAACGTACTGGTGAAAAACTTTGCGTCTGCTCGTGATCCTGAGGTGGTAACAAGCGATGCGTACTTGTTGGACCCATATCGTGCGCAACTTTCATCTGCTATTCGTCACGCTCTCAAGCAAGTAAAGGTGGAACCGACGTCACCGACATCCAGCATGATCAGCGACAACGGCGAAGACAGCTACTTTTACGCGCCGTTGTTTCTCGAAGCTCATGGTATTGCGGGCACTTGCGTTTCAGCTCATATAGTACAAGACAAGGTGGGATTGGGACGTATTCTGAAAGAGGTTGCAAATCGAGACTACGATCATGCACATTTCATTGGCGATGAGCTCACGCGCACTTCTCTTACTCTCGCCAATCTGGCATCCGTCGGGGAACTTCTGACGTCGTGTATCACAGAAACAGTCGGCAAAAAAGATGTGGCCAGTGCTGAACGCGAAGCTGTTGTAAGCTCTCCACTTGTGAAAGCGATGATGAACGGTTTGTCAGGAACCACTGAGTATCTGATGAAGTGCTGGATGGATATCACTTATAGATACGGTGCGGTAATGTACAGTTGTGCACAGTGGAGGCAGGCCGCAGCCAGTTCAAATGCAGTTACACCGTCTGACGAGTCAACGCTCATGGCAGCTTTACATGTGCCGAAGCCATCTACGAGTGCTGCCGCAACCGCTCCGTTGGCCGCGGTGACCATCAAGCAACTCCGCGAGTTCTATAAGCAGTACTGGCCGAAGATCGCCAATGCAATGGCAATTTCGGAGGTCTACATGTTGACATCAGGTTTTTCATGCCGCTCCCAGGGCGTCGAGATGCACAAATCGTTGTCAGTCTTGTTGTCTAGCGCAATCTTGCACATCAACATGAGTCGTCGCGATCGACTGGAAGAAGAGGGGAACCTGTCTGCTGTTCTCCGTAGCATCCCGTTGCTCTTGAGAGTTTTGGTGAACGAGCTACCGAAACAAAGCGACTCTTCGTCCAGTACTTTTCCGATACTTTTGATGGCTGCGCTGGATACGCTCATGCTCACAAGTAGGCGATGTTCCGGACATGCTCAACGTGAGGCCTTGAGCGCGATGTTTACGAGCTTGTCGAGTGAAAATTTAGCTTTTGCCAGAGAGACATGCCGGACTCGAGTGGACGGACAGCAGCTTTGTGTCACTCTTTATGATACTGTGGCGAGGACTGGATTGTGTCCAACAGAGATCGCATGTCAGCTCTGCAATGCAACCAAGCAGACGCGACATGCGCGGGCAGTTAGCACGAGTTGCAGAAGCGTTAATGCTCATCACAGTTTTGTATCAGGAGACGATGATGGCAAGCACGTGAGAGAAATCGTGCAGTTCGCTACCAAAGGCATAATGCTTTTGCATGCGACCGAAGAAGCGCGGAGTGGAGTGGTGCGCTCGATGACTATGGTGCAGCAGGTCATATCGTCTGTCGCGAATGGCAATTACTCCGTCTCAGTAAAAGACGCCGTAGCGACGCTTGGTCGGGCTTCCATCGAGTCCGTGCTCGCGCTAGCACGCACGCTCGAACTGAACGACGACCCGGCTGACGAAAGTCTAAAACAGCGCATAAAGACAAGTGTTTGTAGCTGTTTCAAGCTTGTGGTCGAGTGGCTCAGAGTGGATATCTGCAATGCTCCAGAGTTTTCGATGCAAGTTGTGGCAAACTATGCTGTCAGTTTTCCAACCAGTCTTCAGGATGACGCAGAGCGCTTCCACGCTGAGATTGTCGGAGCAGTTTTGGCTATGTTGGAGTCTGTTCCTGGTCATGGCGATGGCGATATTCCGAAGCAGCAACATACAGCTGCACGGGCAGAGCTTCTACGAGGTCTGCACAAAGTTGCAAAGAAGCTCATCGATGCGCGCCAACTTGCCATTGCGAACCGGTACATGGTGGCACTCGGTCCTCATCTCGTCGATATTGTAGGGGCAGCTAACGGGTATCCAGAGGCAGCTGCACAGCTTGCCGAGCTAGATGAAGCCGAAAACCTCCTTCGTGTACTAATGACGCAGTTGGACGACCAGCATGGCGCCGCATTTGTGCACATGCTCCTCCCGAGGCTTGCAGCAGTACTCAGCCATACGACACCATCCGGCGCCGACAATCCGAATCCTGAACAAGTGCCCATCATCCTGTCGCGGCTGCTTTTGTGCTTTGCGCAGACCCACGCGATTGAGTTCAAGAAAGCAGTGGCGACCATGACCCCTTCGTTGCGCCGTATGCTGGAGTCCACCTTACGCCTTGCCGTGATACGCTCATCTCCGGGCGCAGCAGGGCTACGCATGCAATCGTCAGACCCACCGGTCAGTGGTTTTGCCGCAACGAAGCTGGACTTGAGTCGGTATGCCTAGCAGCCTTGACTGAAGTCGGTGCGCCTAGGATGTAAGCTCGATAGTAGTAGACGCACGTTGAATGCTCGTGAATGAGCGGAAGAATGGAAATAATGCACCACGAGATGTAAAAATGAAAAGGATGCGCCGATTATATCGAAAAAAGTGCACCTGCGATGTCAACTCGATGACCGAACATACACACACATGGGGTCGGTCAAGTACTTCCACTAATATCTTCTCCAATCACTCTCATATTTCATGTGTTAGGAACGTGCTCATCACTACCCGTCGACACTCTTTCTAGAAAAAGGAATAGGTGGGTTGACGCTTCGAGCATGATCTACAGGTGCTGCATATCGTTTGATTGTAAAAGCGCATAGCTTTTGTCTCCTTCACCCAGATCTTCCTAAATCGATGTTGTAGCAACGTGCAGCTGTCGTCGTAGCGGTATCGTGGATCTTACACGAGATGTGGTAGGGCAGTGCCATAATGGCGCGTAGCATGTTACAGAAACGAATGGGGGTAGCCTAAGACGACGAAGAGGCCAACAAGATTTCGAGGAGATAAGAAAGGGGAAAGCTGACGGAATATGTCGGTGCAGCTGCAGGTGGTCGCGCGTATGCTTGCGGACACATAAAGTGGATCGATTGCTATCAAAACACGCAACACTAATGTAATATATGGTTGTCACAAAAGAAGAAGCTGATGAGTGTGGTAGTGATGTTGGTGTTGATCTGGGCGTTGGAAACAGCGCCCGTTAAAGCGCAGGTAATTGTGCAGTTGAAGTTAAAATGGGCGTTGTTAAAGCAGTGCTTTTATTGTACGTAAAGATCCAGCGCGGCGTCTCAACACAACTTCCCAGCGCAACGTTACATTTAAGCAACTTCCGTTCTCGTGAGCGAGAGTACTTGCATGTCAGTTCGACGAGAATCATTGAGTAAGCAAGCAATGCGTCTTTCCTTTTGACGTTGTTTCGAGTGCTCACTCGGTTACTGGGTATGACAGTATGAATGCTGCGAAGATAGACGCAGTACTGCTATCTGCACGCGGAGAATCAAATGCACACAAGCGTAGCAGCCCGGTCTTCTCTATCTACATCGAACATGAAGAACAAGTACTGACATGTCATGGTACTACATTCATTACATGGCCACTCTACCTGCGAGGACATTCAACAAGCACTTCCGCATCGTAGGTCTGTAATTTGCAACGAAGACACTGACGTATCAACAACTTCTATGATGTAAAACGAAGTGACAAAAGACCAAGCCGGCTTCACCAAATTGCCGGGAATGCTCTATCTTTCTAGTTTGCTGCACCACTTTCATGGACATCATCGTCAGTATCTGTGACTACCGAGGTGATCTCTAACATGTGTAGATTGGCTCGTATAGCTCCCATGAGTGATGCGTGTTTTCTCAATCAATTCGTGCATTAGTTTTGTTTTTTTATCTTGTGATGCTGGTCTTGTTTATTTCTTGTGATGCACTTTTTTTCCTTTTCGTTATTATCTGGTGCATGTTTTACATCCCCTGAAAAAGTTCCGTAGCAATTTGCGCTACTGAAAGTGGGATCATTGTACCTTCCCGGTGAATGGATGACTTGGATGAAGAAAGTCGAATGATACAGCACGTCGATGCTTTTATTTTGTCGCGCGCAAAGGTCGGAGACAATGGCGATCCGAGCGTCGTTCAAGTCGCGAAGACGCACAACTATTTCATGCTTTTTGCAGCTCTAGAAGGACGGTGCACAACCTTATCGACGCAATTGGTCTAGAGATACTGATAGCTAACTGACTTATCAACTACAATGTGGTCGATTGGAACAAATATTTTGATCGTAAAACTATCGAGTTCTCGATTGGCTCGAGCCGTTTGTAATACACAACTTCTCAACTTCTTGTCTAAAAGTAAACACACATCCAGTATGTCTAATTTTTTTATATCTGCTCCATATAGCCGAAATTCTATCACATGAAAAAATCGCTTGCCAAAGAATAATAGTGTGCCGAATGTTTTTTACGTTGGTCTCGATAGTGCATTTGATAAATCGGTGGTGAGTTGATTATTTCTGTTCTTCATAATGGTCGGAATGCGCTATGTTTTCCTGTATTTGTATACGAGGAATAAGCTCTCACTTACCCAGAATACGCTCTTCCGTCGTTTCGATACAGCAAGAATACCATTAGTTTGCGTACATGAGTCAAACAAAGGCATCATATTGGCTTTGACTAGGTTTTACTTCGAGGCGTAACACCGGTCGATACATCATCGATCAAGGGCCTAGAGCCAAGTATGTGTATTGATGACCGTAATCATAGCAACATAATAATGAACATTTCCAGGTGCGTGCGTGAAAACAAAAACGACGGCATTCATGCTGAATATACGTTGTCGCATGGACGTTCGAGAATCGTCATTAGGATGGCAAACTAGTAGCTAAAAGATTTAACCTGGAAGTGCGTCCCATGTGTCAATTTGAGTAGACTTGATGATCCTTGCAAAAGCCAAGTTATAATTGTTGAACACCAGCATCCTTGCCAAGATATTCCATCGTCGAAAAACTACTTGCTGACATTCAACATCATACAACACCCCCATATTATCGACACATAAATGTCGAAAGTAGTTCTTTTAAGCTTAGGCTTGTGCTGTTTATTGGTAATTTCGACGTCGGGTGACGCGCTAATCCACAAGTCATACACGCCTATCATACACACAAAGTCCGTTCGCGACGTTAATTTATCGTTTAATACTCTTCGTGTAGGCTAAGGGCTAGCACATAAGTGATAAATATGCACAGCGACCCTACTAGCTTGCTCGTCAAACAAGCGTCCAGCACTGACCAGTATCGGCAAAAGTCACTACCTAAAAGTTTCATAATAATAACTTCGCAAAGTAAGCTGCCTTATAATGGATGCGCAGAAAAACGTCCCGAACATTAGCGTAGAGCTAGAATACATGGAACTGTCTGCCCTTTTATACGCACATCATCACGCCAATTGCCGCATACAATGGGATAGTCCCTCACGAATAGGCTCGTAGGCGGCCGCGGCACGCACAGTGCAATGTATAGAATAACGAGAAGTAGAGAAAGAAATCCACAAATTATCTGACGACCCGCGTAAATATGATTGGTTGCAATTGTAGTAAATACTGCTCCTTTCTAGAAGATGGCCGGCTACTTCGGGATTAGATGCTTCCAGTTGTAGCCGCAAAATGTAGGACAATGGAACACGAAATATTGATCAGTTGGCTTAATAATTAAGTGACTGGATAAAGTGTATGTGTTTATCGAGTATAATTGATACGCTGGAAGTTAGCGGGAATAAGATGATGTTTCTTTCTTGTTTTTTGTACACTAAAATTTTGTATTAGCTTGTCTGAACCTCAAGGCTTGCACCTGGTACATATATGTGATAAAGCTTTCGTCCAAACGGGTGAGACAAGATGAAAAATGAAACTGAACTGCCTAATTCGACTTGTGCAAACATCACTTTATATGTCTTTGCACACTATTTGCCTGTTCGGCCAGCAAACAAGTGACATGTCGATGATAAATACATAAATTATCTTAGCCTGGTAAAAATGCTGAACACGATGAACTAAGAAAAAATGTGCATTGATCTGTTTAATTATCAATCACATAGTAACGGGCTTATCCCCTTATAGTATGTATGAATGATATCGACTGCATATTTCACATCAGATAAATAATAGAATGATGGAATTACATAGTGACAATGGATGTACGTTATCATGGCCCAAAACGGTAGCGAATGATCTCGGATGAAAAGAACGAGTTATAGAGACTAATTACCGCCGTAACGATAAATGAAATAACAAAGAATCGAGTTTTATCATATATTTGGGTATGTACCTACTATTTGGATCTTGTTTCGATGCTGCGTCAATATTGGAGCATGATACACGAGCTTTAGTCACACGGGTCTAAGGACACAATCGATAAAATACGAGTTTTGAAGGGATTAAACGTATAAATATATTGACAGCGTAAGGAGCACACTAGTATAGGAAAGGCAGAGCGATACGTCTAATTGTAATGTAATTAGTTTGAACATAGGTTTTTACTTATGCGCTTATGCCGGAGACATGCGTCTTCCTTCTATGGGAAGTTTTTGGGTGGTTCTCGACGCCCGCGAAATCGCGGTTTCTGTAAAATAGGTACCTGTTCTTTCGATCGGTTATCCATCGTTATCTGGATCGTTCACGAGTAACATATAATTTTAATTACACGCAGATACAAGTACTGGACAGCTAAGGTCGACAAAGCCAATAGGGCTGGCACGTGAGATTGAAATGATGGATTAAGAGTGCACGACAAGGCAAACTAAAGGAATAAGTGAGCGCGTTCACGAGTTGCAGGCGTACAAAATCAATCTATTCCGATTACAAAGCCGATTGAGATCGACAAAACATATCTCGAGACTAATATCATGGATTCATTATCGCTAGACGGATAAAGTGGTCGGAAATTGACTCATGTTCGACCGCTTTGTCAAAACTTCACGTGCGGAAATCGATTTATCCAAGTCTTAACTCCAAGCGAGATTGACAGATCCCAAAATTCAGCACAAAGAGCTGAAGCCGGAGTAACCGACAAAAACATACAGTGAGCACAACGTTAAACAAGATTTACGGATAAGGGTACTTCCTCTGTAATTTGGCAACTCTGTGCGACATGGCAAGTTACTGGTCGCATCGGAAAGTTTATAATGACAATTCCATCTTATTATTACCAAATGTATACGTTGAAATGCATTATCACAGGTTATAAGGGTAGCTCATCATTTTTTTGCAGATGCCCCGAGCGTCGTATTCGCTGCTATGTCATCAATCTATGAAGCCCTCGATTTATCTCCAAATATGGCAGATTGTATGCTCCTCCGTCATGGCAGTTCGTTTATTAGTAGTGATATAAAAGCGAAATAAAACAGCTTAATAAGTAGCAACACAACAATATCGCCGAACTGAGCCGACGAGTATGTCTCTTACTTC